TTTCAAAAAATTTTATAACAAATTCAAGAAGTTCTTAGAAGCTGTGGAGTGGCTGGTCGCATTTCCGTTAGATTAAGTCCCTTATTTTGAACTTTTTTTGGAATTAAAAGATTCCTCGAAGGAAGGGGAACACCAAAACAATGAAAGCACACTGATCATATTTAAAAAAAAATGCCCTTCAATCATAATAAAAACACATTCTGACCATTTTTCAACAAAAAAGAAGTGATGCAACCAAAATTCCCATTTTCAGAGCTTCAATCCGGTATACGGAAAAATCATCAACCAGCAATTGGCTTCTCATTTGCATAGCTCAGCCGGTAGAAAACTTATAAGCTAAAAGAAAAATATAAATTTTTTAAAATCTTATCTTCAAAACTATTATGAACTAAAAACTCTTACGCTCAACTTTTTTCTCATTTCACTCAAAAATTCTGAAGAAAAATTGTCTCATATGAGAGAACCATTGAAACAAACTTTTCATATTTGCACACTAAATGATTAAAAAATGTCTGACCCACGCATATTTTTCAAACCTCCAAAAATGAATCTGGAATGATCTCACAACTATCAATAAGCGCAAATTTCGAAAATAGATTCCTCAATCGTCAATTTTCCTCAATCGTCATCTTTTTCAACCTCATATTGAATTCTGTGTCAATGTTTTAAAATTGGAACTTTCCGATTTCATATTTACGTGATTTTGAATTTGAGGTAAATCCCAAAATCTTGAAATTCCAAGTTTCAAATTTTCGAAAGAAGAAAACAAATAAGCAGCAAAAAAGATAATATTACAGCTGATATTACGTCTTAATCATTTTTTGGGGAAATATTACCTCTCGATCTTTTTTTTGGGTAACAAAAGAGGACCGCAAGTGATAATTCTCTCTGGATTCCAGGTTGTCCAATCCGGCGGAACAGGTATATAGAAAAAGTCAGGAAAATGTGCTATCTGATAGCACTTTTCAATTTTTGATCTTCTATTGGATCAAAATGGATTTAAAAAATGCTAATCCTCATTTTGTCTTCTAAATCCTATAATAGTAGATTGTAAAATTTGGTGAAATCTGAAAACATTTCAATTGAATAGAAAAGTGTGTGATCTATTTAGGTTTTTATCATACTCAAATCAAAAACAAAAAGAAGTAAAACATGGAGATACAAGTAGGAATTTCGAGGTTAAGCCGAGTTTTTCGAGAGATAAAAGTACATTATGTCAAAGATTGAAAAATGGGTATGACACTTTTTCAGCAGGTCACGGAATCGGAATATCAATCATTTGAAACAAATTTTCAATTTTCTCATTTTTCGAAAATTTTAAGCCGTTAAACTTTTAATGAAAGTGCCCCTAATTTTTCAGTTTGAGCTAGTTTATCTCGTTTCCTTTTAAAGGTATCAAAAATTGGTCAGCGGATAAATCGTTTATTATCATATCACAAGCAGTTTATCAGTTGACACATTTTCAATATCTCGCATAGGAGCCAAGAGAAATTGGTTCGAACTTAACAGTAAGTGAATCTCACTTCTCATAAAGATTTTACAATTTTTTAAAAATTTAGATTTTTCACGGTACAGGTTCCCTATTAGCTGAAAACTCTAGACAGGATGAACATGAAGGGCTCGGTGGTCCATGACTACATACTGCAAACCACTAACAACCCTTTGAGTAATTCAATTAAAGACATACAGGCATACAAACACACAAAAAAGTTTCCAAAGGAAAAAAGTAGATGAGTCAAAACCAAATTTGATAAAAAACAAGAACGGAAGTTGATTAGAATTTTTTGAAGGCGTCTTCCTCCGTTCTTCTTCCAAGAATGTTTTCTTTTCACTCAAAAAAACTCAATCGGAAAGAAAAAACAGAACACGAAGAAATGTTCTAATTTGAGATGTGTCTGTGTTCTTTTTTTGTCAGCGACCAGAACAGAATTCTCGAAAATCCACTGAAACGATTTCAGTGAAATCAACTAGTTCAAATTTCTTGTTTGTCAGAAACGGGAAGAGAACAGACTTTTTTTCAAGTGCTTTGTAAATTATGCCTCTGTTCCAAAAACTCAAGAAGTGATGTCTCTCTTACGAAGTTGTCAAAAAGTTTGCTCTCGAAAAAAAACCTGATAAGTGCTGGGTGGGGAAAAGTCGTTGTATGGGAGCGATACTTCTAGATGCACAATGAAACAAAACGCTACAAAAAATTTTATGGGTTCACTTGAACGAAAAATGCCAATCAACTTGAGACGAAACCAATTTGAATTCGATGATGAATGAAATTGAAAAAAAAGAAGAACAAGAGAAAGGACAAAAAGAAGGAATATAGAATTCGGGGTCAAATTAAAATGTAGGGAGAAAAATAGCGAGAGCGAAACACTTGATACACTAGAAGATTGCGAATCGAGATGCACTTGAGCCCGGTCATTGAGAACCCCACGCTCTCATTTCTCTGTTTGTTTTTTTACTGCCTTAGCTCGCCCTCTTAGTCACATTATCCAGTTGATGAGCCAATTTGATGGTATCACTGTATCAATAGATTTCTTATATCATTTGGGACTCTATAAATAACATTTTTGCTCTATCCGTGATCTTTTTCGAATGATACTTTACTCGTTTTTTTTTAAATCATATTACCGGACCAACTTTTTTCAGTGGAATACAGTCAATGTTTTGGTCCTGGCGGTACTCTACAAGTTTCCATCGCTCTGAAAATTTGAGATTTAACTAAATTTTTAATTCGGCAAGAATATTGTAATTGACAACTTTTTCGACTGATTTCATTTTAACGAAATACGCGAAGCCCACCCTATGCGGACACTTTAAACTTAATTATCACGGTCCATCTAAAAGATATAAAAAATTTGCCAATTGATGGACTATTGTTGATTAAATGATGAATAATTCACCAATTGAAAAATTTTTAATTTCTCTCACAAAAAACGAGAAAATCGAGCTCAAAGTACACAAATGGAGTGGGCGACTAATAGAGCAAGTAACTTTTCTCAATTTGTAATAATCGCTTTCAAACAAATCGAAAAATCCTGGACTTGTTTATTATTTCACAGGTTATTTTCCATTAAAAACTCTGATATTTTTCCGTCCGGTAGTCTAGTTCTTTGTTCAGGCCCAACCATCTAGAAACAAGTTTCTCAGAAACAAGGAAATACAGAAAATCCGTTTGTTCATTGCAGGGTGTCAACCGTTGATACACTTCCTCGTTGATAAACGAACAATTTCCGATGGTCTGATAAAAATAATGTTATCGCTTCTCGGAAAACCAATAATCGAAAACTACCCTGAACACAGGAAATCTAAAAATACGATCTAAGAACCATTGAAGTTTGGGACGGCGGATTTTCCTTTTATAGCATAAAAATTGTAGATTCGAAACTTTAAATCTTAAAAATTGAAAGTTTTGATCTGAGTCTTGCCCGCACAATTGAATAGCGGTGCAACTGAAACGCGCCGAAGCCGCGCCAGCCAGGCTAGTTGTCTGAAATCAATTTATTGAATTATCTTTCGTAAAGCTCAGAAAAAAATTACTAGAAGTTTCAGTTCCATGATAAAATTGGATGTTGATTTTTGTTTGTAGAGTTGAACTGAAGCGTTTGCCCTTCTCATCATTATTCGATTCCCTTTGTAAACAAAAATAAAAACAAGAAAGACTGAAATAGAAAGCGGTCCATAACAATTTTTCTCTAATTTATCCCTTTTTCCTCATTTTTGAACAAAGGGGAATATGAAAAAAATTTACTCGGAGTTTCCTTTACAGTGCCGGTCAGTAAATGTACAAAAGAGCGTCTTTCAGTTGCTTTTGAGCTACTTTCCATATTTTAAGGAGTGTGCAGCTTGGCGGTTAAGTTTATTTTCTAAATTTGAAAAACACTTAGATTGAAAACTTTGCATTCGCAAAATTTTTTTTGAAAGTCTTTAGTGTTTCAGCTATTTGCCAATTTTCAAAAGACCCTCCTTTCTTGAATGGTTTTGTACGGAAAGTGTGAAAAAACAGGTGTAGTTCAGAAATCGGCAAATAGCTGAAACACTAAAAATTTCGGAATGATTATTAAGTGAATGCAAAGGTTTCAACCTATGTTTGTTTTACACTACGAACCACTCTTGAAAGTGATCGGAAACTTTACAGCCGAGCTCCAGACACCAGAAAATGGTCAAAATCAACTGAAAAAAGCACATTTGTATTACTGTACATATATGGACCGAATTTCGAGAAAATTGTTTTTTTATGGCCACCCCTATCTTCAAATAATTAACCATCTGCACCGAAAGATTGTAATTTTGCAATTCCTTCCCATAACAAAACGATCTATACCTTGTCCTTGTCTTCACATTGACCTCAACATGCTCTTACCGATAGATCTCGTGATGTCATCAAGCAAACGGTACAGTATCGGACTGTCTATCAAAAAAAGGTCACTCACTCTCTCTCTCTCTCTCTTGACAAATGCAATATTACACAAAATGTCCCGCAGGGCGAAGTCGTTTCGATCAAGAGGGAAGATTACGTCTCTTTCTTTTCAAAACTTCAGAAGTTTGATGTCACTTGAAGATCTAACCGTTGACAGATAGATAATGAAATAACTTGAATCTAGTTTTTGTCAAGTAATGTATAAAAATTGAAAGCGAAAAATGGGAAAAATGTTCAGAAGTTCTATATCAATGCCATTCGTCAAACCGTTACAATTCGTCACTTCTCAAAACCATTGGCAACTATTTTTCATACACAAACCATATTTTCGATTCCATAGGTTCGAAATTCGCGATAAGATCGGTGACAAATGCAACACTTCTCAAGAAAACATCATATCTTTTGAAGATGCGCCGACATGATTTGACAAACGGGGGCACACAGATTGTAATCACAAACTTTGACGATCAAAAGATCTCTTCCAAAATGAAAGAGACCCGATTCAAGTCATCGGGCGGTCCATTCGCACCTTTGAAAATCGTATAAATAGGCAATAAGATCTCGGTAACAAACAGACAACTCGTCGACAATGAACTTCTACTCTGTCATCCTCCTCGCTGTTCTGGCTGTTGCCGCTTTGTAAGTTTTTTTACTCAATTTCTATTTTTTCGGTTACCGTATTCAGTATTCTGTGATCAAAAATAGAATCCAGAATACGCTCTATCTATCTCGGAAACTCATATTTCTCGTTCCAGGGCCGCCCCACAACGAGTCATTGAGAAGACCACCATCATCCGTAATGGCGGACCAGGATTCGGTGGACGTCCAGGATTCGGAGGACCAGGATTCAACAGAGGACCATCATTCGGTGGACCAGGATTCAACAGAGGACCAGGATTCGGAGGATCAGTCCGTGGACCAACTGTCATCAAGCAAACCATCATCCGTCCAGGAAAGTAAATACTACAATTTTAATGATTGTAATCTCATTATAATGCAATATTTTTTGACTAATAAATGAAATCATAAAAACGAAAATCGTTGTTTTGTTGTTGGGAAATTTTTTTCATTCTAAAAGAGTGTTACCGAAACCGTCAGTTTTGAGCCATTCTATCCCAGTTCCTATAAATTATATCAAGAAATAGTCAACCGACAAACTATTTTTGATATTATGATCAACATTTTGACGATGTACTACTTTTTGATATCTTCTCTAAGAAATGAGATATTTGAGCTCAAAGTTGACGGGTTGGTATTCTATTCAAGCGATTTGTACGGGAAATCTGAAATGAACCAGTTAGAAGGGGCTTATAGAAGTTCAACAAATTACATTTTTTAATACTAGCAGCGGACCACATTGGACCGAATAATGGACTTTCTCGGCCCGAACCGTCTTCTTTTACAGTTAAAAAATGTCAATAGAAGGGAAACTAGTTATATTATTCAACAAAGATAAAAAAGTAAAATGTAGTCAAATAATAGAAAGTTTTTTGAATATTTGGAATATTTTTAAGGTCCTATAGGTTTCTGCAATGCTTATCAAAATTATCATTAATGCTAAAATTTTTTTTCAAAAATATATTTTGTGTCAATTTGAAGTTGAAGAAAATTTAACTTAAACAACGTCTGAAGTGTTTGGACGTTTCCGTCAACGCTAGTGGTTTAAATATTGACAATTTATTGTAAAACTAAACTTTTGTACGTGTTTTGGCCTTTTTTACGTATTTTGAACTGACTGTTTTTGTATTTTGATATTATCACAATACAACCAAAAAAATTTATTATAGTTGAAAAATTAAAATTTGAAAACAAAAGTTATTACAATTTGGAAACTGGCTTTGAGACGAATGGGACAGGTTCAGAAACTTCAAATGGTGGTCCGACACCCTAATGTCACAATATTTTGTCAGTTTCCCACTGTTTGTCATATTTCTAAATCTCTAAGGTTCAGTTTGTCCAAGTTTGTGTCCGTAAAGTTCCTATCCCTTCTGGTTATTCTCATGTTGGTAAATTCGTAAGTTTTAACATCAATTATCAATCCAATCATCATGTATTCAGGGTTTCTGCTCAATGGGGCTGGGGATGGCGTCGACCGGTGGCTGTGCAAAGAACTGTGGTGAATCCATGGCTGCCATGGCGACCAACTGTCGTCAGAACCACTGTTGTCAGAGGATGACGCACTTTCTCTGATTTAAAAATGGTGTTTTACTTTCCTTTGAAAATGATTGTCAATAAACATTACATGTGTTTCAAAATTTTTTTCAAACAACTTGACATCCGCTGGTGACAGAAATCAGTTTGTCAAATTGATAGTCATGCTTCGCACAATTCATCGACCAAATAATCCATTTCCTGTGATCAATAAACCTGGAAAATATCACTTCCGGGATAAGAATTGACCCGAATCAACGAAGGAATCTATGTTTTTGTACCAATTTTCGTGTTCCGTATCTTCTTCTTTTTCATATGTCTCCTCCAATACTTTGGTTTACCTCTTCTAAACATCACACACTGTGTCCATCTCTCTGTTACACTCTTACACTATTCAGACGAGTGGATGATTTTTCGACCGACAAAAATGTCGAAATATCTAGCGATTTTCTCTCGCGACCCTCACATGCACCCATTCTATTTCTCATGACGCCTTATCACGCCTCTGCCCAACCGATATGCTTTATAAACGCGTTGATTTTCCATATTTCCAATCAGTTTCACTCAAAATGAACTCTTACGCTATTATTCTTCTCCTCGGCCTCCTTGCCGCCGCCATGGCTGCCCCACAAGGATTCGTCAAGAAGACGACAATCATTGAGACCGCCGGACCACGCGGTGGATTTGGTGGAGGTCCAGGACAGTTCGGACGTGGAGGATTCGGTGGAGGACCAGGAAACGGATTCGGAGGAGGACCAGGATACGGAGGACGTGGTGGATTTGGAGGAGGACCAGGAAATGGATTCGGAGGAGGGCCAGGATATGGTGGACGTGGAGGATTCGGAGGTGGACCAGGAAACGGATTTGGTGGAGGACCAGGATTTGGACGGGGAGGACCAACCATCATCAAGGAGACCATCATCCGCGGTGGAAAATAATTTTTTTTCTCTAATATTCTGTCTTAAAAAACCTCGATAATAAATTTTAAACCTTCACGTGAATTGTAACAAAAATTGTCTAGGGAATTTCATTGGAAAAATGACTACAGTAAAACACACATAAGAGAATTTAGGAATTTTTAAAAAATTTTAAAATTCCGACCCGTTCAATTTTTTAAAGAAACTACTACATCTCGAATTTTGAAATCATTGTACTTCCTAGTATTGTTTTACTCTGAAAGTATTACTTCGCGAGTTGAATCGTATAGAAAAGCCAATTTTTGCGACCTCAAGAATAGCTCCAAAAATCTGTTTTTCCCTAAAAAAGGCGTTTTGTTCATAAAGTCAGAGAAATGGATTCAAATAGAAATTTTAGAAATGTAACGAAAACATTCATTGAGGTTTCGCGAAATTTCGCGTTTTCAGACATTTTTACGCTCTATATTGCTGTTTTGACTAGCTCAAAAATTTGAATTTTTTCAGACTATACGACAGTTTTCATAATCATTGAGAGTTTGGTGTTTTTCTCAGAATTCTCAATTTTAGGATTTTCGTTAGGTACGGTCATAGTGATCATCTTCTCAGCAATACGTTTATTAAAATCGAGTTTTCTCTTCAAATGTGATCATCAATGATTATGCATATCTCTAAAAATCACCCACCATTATTCAAATCAGGTCGATACATATTTTTTGTTTTCTGCCTTCATCCCCCAAAAAAAAATTGCCCAGAAAAAAAAATCGCCCAATATCAAACCCTACCTGTTCGTGAAATGGACAGAAGAAAAAGACAAACATTTTCACCGAAAAGCTGACGTCATTCCTCTTTACACTGTCTATATCACGAATCCAAAACCAATCTTGAGGTTATCGGTTGGTTTCAGAATGAAAAAGGCGGGGATTCGGTGTGATTTGACCGTGACAGAAACTAATTGGGGGTCGCTATATAAATAAAACGTTTCTAGAAGGTTTTAACGCCTACAAAATATGAACTTCAATTTCTTTATTGCACTGCTTGCCACCCTTGTTGGGCTTGCCAGGTAAACATTCTGAAATTCGAATTATCCATTCAATCAAATTTCAGCGCTCAATGGGGAGGTTATGGTGGAGGATATGGAGGAGGATACGGAGGATATGGACGACCATGGGGACCACGACCATGGGGACCAAGACCATGGGGACCACGACCAACTGTTATTGAGAAGACTGTCATCATCAGGCAAGGACCATGGGCCCATAAGGTCTAGATTAATTTGAATTTTATGTATATCTGAATTTTTTTCCACAAAATTTTTTTTTCAACGACAATGAAGATGATTCTTCTTTTCGATGAGACAGTTCACAGAAGTCAGAAATTTTCGAGATTCCATTCTCTGCTTTGGTTTTCTGATCACAACCCGAATCGACCAAGGTTAACGGTCAGATTCGGAGAAGGAAAAAAAAGAAACCGAGAGAAAACATTTTATATCACAAAACAGAAGAAATCAAGAAGATAAAAACCAGCATTGGTTTTATTCGTTGGTCACAATCACGTTCTTGATGAAATCGAGAGAATACTCGAGGTTCTCGCGGAATTCGTCGCCATTCGTTGCGTCGTCAAAGTAATTGGATAAGGTGAATGTGAATCTACAAATTAAAAAAGGAGAAGTGAATCTTAAAATGGTTTTTCAGACCTAGAAGCATTGATGCGATAGAAAGCACCGTATCCGTCTTTACACATTGGAACTACATAGCCGAAACATCCATTTTCATTGTAGCCAAGGAAACTGAAAAATAGGTTAACTTAGAGAAAAGGAAAGGGGTGATATTTATGGGTTTTTTGAGTTACCGTGTGAATTTTGAAGAGACTGTGGAAGTGATTTTTTAATGTATCCTTCTCTTTAAAAACTGAAAAAAAACGTTACCTTGTAGACAATAGGAAATTCCCATTCCCCCACTAGCCGCATAGGAATGGTCGTCTAAAAATGGGATGGCGATTTTTTCACCATAAGATTTCAGAGCCAATTGGGACATTCTGAAAAACTGAAAAACAATTCGAGGTGTGGATGGTATAGAATATTTGTTTTCCAAATTTAAAATTTAGAACTCTCCAAAATTTTCAATGTCAAGAAATTCGAAGTCAATAGAAAATGTATAAACTTCCAAAATTTTTTTGTTTGTGAAAAACCCGGGCTCTGACGTTTCAAGTATTGGAAAATCTTAAATTTCAAAAATTTTGGGATCTCAAATTTTTTCAGGGACGCTCAAAAGCTATTTTTCTTATTTTTCCATATAACGTTTACACTCTAATAGAAAACTCAAACCGTCAATTTTGCTCCAAGATATATCTCACTTTCTGTGACAGGTATGAAAACGTAATTCACTAACAAATTGTTAATCATAACATAAGCAACATTTTTTCAGTTGACCACTTTTTGATTCCTGTCACAGGAAATAAGATATGTAGGCTTAAAGTTGACGGCTTGGGAGAGCTTCTATTAGTGGAAACACGATAACTTCCAAATTACAATAACACTTTTTCTTTATTGTGGAACCAACTTTTTTGCAATTTTATGGCGTTTTTCTTTCTGTGTAGTTTGTCGTTATTCATCACCCCAAACTTCTAATTTGGTCCATCCCGCAATAACAACTTTTTATGGGCACGGACCAACCCGCTGCGCCCTCCAATAAAGTACCTCAGTCCAAGGAAATGTCTATCAATTCCTTTTCCGTCTCGAGCAGCGTCCATCAACGTATTATGTGAGTTATAGGCATCAAAGAACAGTGTTTTGATAGTTTCGTTCTGTAAAATTTTTGAAAACAAATTGAATCGAGGTATTTGTTTACTCTTTACCGTTGCGGAATTTTCACAGGCTTCTAGGTACTTGGCAAGGTCTGGCGTCAAACTTCGAACTGTTTCTGTCCGTCCATGGTAGAATTTCCGGGTTGAGGCAGTTTCATAGATTGGTGCCAACCTTAATAACTCAATTAGTCATTTCTCAGAAATCATTTGTCATACTTGTTATGAGTTTTCAAGTAAGCCATTTGTAATGCAATTTGTATAATTGTATCAGCATACAATTTTCTGCTTTTACAAAACGTTGCTCCGAAATTTGAGTAGTGATACACGTTCACATTGATTCTTGAGCTCTGAATCACTTGTTTTTTTCACATCCAAAATCAAATCAGAAAATCACCAAAGCGAAAAACTGCTTCTCAGCTTCGGCAATCCTTGAGGAAACCGATCCCGTTAACAAGAAGTCGATTTTTTCAATAGTGGGCGTTGAGGAGCTATTTTCAAGAGTCTGAAGAAATAAATTGAGTGTTTTTTTTTCAAAACACACACACACACATAAACAGATAAATTCTCATTAGTACCTTTTCACTCAATTCGGAATCATCCAGAAATTGGTCAGCGGCAAAGTCACACGGCGCAAATAGAGAGATCGCGTCAACATTTCCGTGCTAAAAATTTGAAAATTTAGGAAATCGAAAAATCAGAAGATTAGTAACCTCCGCTTGCAAACAAGCTTTTCCGTCCTTGAGTACTATAATATTGAGATTTTTGTCCATATAAGCGTTCAAGGGGGATCCAAAGATAGAGTATTTCATGAGCTAAAAAAAACATTCGGAGTAAAGGTCAATAAAACATGCAAAAACATATTTTTCAGTTGATTTTCGGCTATTTTGACCATTTTAAAGAGTCTGGCGCTCGGCTGTCAAATCTCCGATCGCTTTGAAAATTTGGTAGAGTGTAAAACAACTGTGCCTTCTCAAAGTTATTTTAAATTTCCCAGTTTTTCAGCTATTTGCTGATATCAGAAAAACACCTGTTTTGCAGGTTTTCAGTATTAAAATGGGCCAAAAACAGGGTTTTTCAAAAATCGGCAAATAATTGAAAAACTACGAATATTCAAAAATTCTGTAAATGCCAAGTGTTCCATCTAGGTCTATTTTACATCCTCACAGATTTTCAGAGAGATGGGACACTCGACAGCAGAGCTCCAAACTCCCGCAAATGATCAAAATGACAAAAAACCAACTAAGAAATACGTTTTTGTATATCTTATTGACCGGTACGGAATGTTAAATTAGAGAAAATTGGAGAAAATTACCAAAAACCCACCTCTGAATCATTTTCTACAAAATCATTGGCCAGTGTTAGACAGAGAACCGCACTATCTATAGCTTCAAACATTTTCCGGTTTCGGCTAGAATTGCAAATCATGGATTCGCGGATCTTAAAAACCTTTAACATAAAATCCTCCAAATATAACCTACTTTAGCCCAGGTGTCTCTTTCCAGTGATGTTAATTTCACGATTGAATTTTCGTCAGTTCTATTCGAGCCAGATTTGATGATTTCTAGAATGTTTCGAATCTCAGGAACACTCAAAATCTTTCCGTTTTGCACAGTTTCCATTTTCCAGATATGTCCATTGTAGAGGACCACGATATGTGAAGGACAAAAGCCTTCGGATTCTAAATTCACATTTTTAGTGGATTTTTTATTTCAATTTCTATCTACCAGTGCAAAAATACCGTTCGATTTTGTCCTTTGAGACTGCTGGAGTTCTACAAGCGTTGAACAAATTATAAACTTGGGACATATCCCAATTGATCCCTCTGCTTTTAGTGATTTCGATTTTTTCACTAAAAAACCAAAAATCATATGACAGATTCTAGAAAAAATTTGCTCACTGCCTGACTCGACTCCAATAATTCATCAGGTGATGAATAATCTGTGAAGCCATGCCAATTTGTGAGGTGTTACTCATAAATGACTTTGGAATAATTGCTCCCATATTTTGTGTGAGCAATGTGTCTTGGTTTGTAGTATAAGCGTCGTACCACCAGTCTTCCAGCTGAAAAATTGTCTTTATTGAAAACAATTTTGTTCAAGTACTCACCCAATTTTTGGAGCTACTTGATTTCAGTTCAAGGAAATTTTGAAGTTTTCTGCCATTTTCGGAATCTCCGAATCCTCTTGCAAGGGAGGTTACATGTTCAAGTTCTTCTTTGGAATCAATTGGAGACACTGAATTTAAAACAATAGGATGACCAATAGTCAACTTCGAGCTCAAATATCTGGTTTCCTCTGAAAGATACCAAAATTTTGTCAACTGAATCATTATTCATCAAAACGTCAGCAATTTTTTATCAGTTGACAACTTTTTCATAGATTCTACAGTAATCGAGATAATTGAGCTCAAAGTCGACGAGTTTGGTGGGCGTCTATCAATGGACATAAGGTAAATTTTTTCAAACATACATACATGATTTGAGATATTTCTCAATTGTATCCTTCAATCCAGGAAGTGGAAGACTCGGTATCGAGTTCTGATGAGAGAATGTGGACTCCATTACTTTTGCATAGAACTCATTTCTGCTCCGTCCCTCTTTTATAGCTCTATTAATTAGGTTCATCCTTTTCCCTTCACCGTCTTTTCTCGGTATGAATAAAAAGAAAGTGCATTCGGAACTTTTTTTGCAGTTTTTTTTGGTTTAGTGTCCTTTCCTCGGGTGTTTTAGTTTTTGCTCTATTTTGTGTTACGTGAATTTTCGAGAAAACTCGGCGTTGACATATCAAGATGAGAGCCACTTGTAATTCAAAGTTTATGTCAATTAAATTGACATGGGTAGATGTGAAAAAACAAGGAGAAATTCACGCCCACATTATGTGGAAACCATTTTTAAGTGAAAACACTTTTTTCTTGAAATTTTGTTGTTTAGTTGTGTCAAAGACCATTAATTTTTGATTTTTTTTAAACACATAAAACTGTATGAAAAAATATATAAATTTAAAAAAGCACCAAAGAAAATTAACACCGTGAGCAAAATCTCAAAAAATAGCTTCAGAATTCAAAAATCTACGTTCTAGTCGATTTCTGGACTTCAAGAAAGTTAAAAAAAATTTTCGAATTATCTTTAAAACGGAAAACTCTCCGTTTTCATTTTGATACTCCTCTAGAGGGGGCCCAAAATTTTCAAGTTTGAAGAAAACCTTTGAAAAATCCGAGAACCTTCTAGACGTTTTCAGAAATGGACAACAACAGAAAAATTAGCGACTTTTGAAGTGATTTTTTATGGTTCTGCAATTTTGCGAACTTTCATTTTGTGATATATGAATCTTCATAATTTCCAACGTCAATTTTTGCCGGATTCCCGCTTCAAGTGTACATTCTGATTTTTTTGTGAACAAAAAAATCTTAGTTTTCGTCAAAAACATAGTGTTCTTTTTCGAAAACTGGGAATTTTTCAATTTTATTGAAAATCTCTCCGCTAATCGAGAATGAACTTTTTTGGCCACTTTCCCTTGTTTTCCAATCCGTTGTTTATTTCCGAATTTGGGTCCACCTCCGTAAAACAACATTTGAAACTTTTAGTCCTGTAATTTGATGTTCTTTGTAACCCCTAAAGCTTTATAAAACTTCTGTCCAACTCGTTCAACCAATCACTTTTTGTTTCCTTTTTTCCCATTTTCTTCCCCCGCGCAAATTTATTCAAAGTGCTTTACCTTCTCTCTTTTTGATGTTCCCAATGTGCCCAAAATGCTTGATTCCTAAAAGCATTTCTTTTGTTAAAAAGAAAAAAGGAACAGAAAAAAAAACATGTTAGCATAACGAGATAAACCAATTCAGAGCAACAAAAAAGAGAACGAAGAGGTGGAGTTTAGTGGGCGGAGCTTGAGATTTCTATGAGCTCGCGTCACTAGAAAAGTCAGAATTTTTCCCGATGTTCTCAGTTTTCCTACCCCCACGATTTCCCAGTAATTCAGAAATTTCCAGAATGCAAGTCTTGGCTGCTCTCCTCATTGCTTTCTTTGCTCTCTTCGCTGTTGCATCGGCATTCCGCGGAGGACATGGACGTCCGCTCTACGGTATCTAGAATTTTCAGGAACTTTTTCAGAATTATCAAAAATCAGACAAATAAGAAATCTAGAATGTTTGATTTGCAGTAAAGAATGCGCAACTGATAGCTGATATGTCGATTGACACAGATGACATTCCGCCAAACTTGTTAATGAATTTCAAAAAGGACACTAAAAAGTTAGGCTTATTTTCATCGGAGTGTGATCTTTCCTATCCTTGCTTAACTGCTTGACTTTTTTGTTCTATTTCTGCTGTCTTTTCGCTGCCTTTAACAAAAACAATCACTGCTAAAAATACATTCGCATTATTCACGCTTGACAAATAATGGGCTTCCATAGGCGTACACTTGATGAGTTGCAAAGCTTGCTACTTCCTTTTCCGGCTGATACGAATTGGAATACTAGGAGAAATGTAAAGTTTCGGTGTTTACAGGAATAATTGGCGACGTTCAATCAGTGGAGTCTTCGATGCCACTCCGCGGCTTCGCCAATCACGGTGGACGCGCCGCGGCCCGCTCGTACGACCAGTGGTAGTGGAAGAAGAGTTCTTATCTTCTCGTCAAACTTGATGAATTCTGTTGAATAAAAAAACTTGTCTTGCGAATAAATACATTCATGTTAAATTTTTGTTTGGATCGGACATTGCAAAATATTTTAAGGTAATCCGGACAAAACGTTATTAAATTTTCTCTAGAATTGTTCAAATAGATTTTAAGTATTGCTCCTGGCCGATTCTCGCTTTCGCAGCTCACCTGGTAACACTAATAAAATTTTGGATACATGTTGAACTCCCAAAGACATAATATTTAAAAAAAGGTAGTTTTGATGATTTTTAACCTTCAAAGAAGAATCTCCAATAGCTTAATAGAGTTGAATAAAGTTTTTAAATTTGAAAGTTTTCCACATATTTTGTTTTGGATCTGGCTCGAAAAACAGTTCTTCCATTAATACATTATATTGCAAAAGTGATATTTGGTTAGCACTCGAGTACCGAAATTGCTAGAGACATGAAACTTTGTACCTGGGTGTTATTTTGTATTCTAAATTGAATGGTAGTTGCAAATCATTCATATCATATTCACTTTTTCTGGAACCCTCAAAATCGAGCCAGGTCCTATCATTATTGTAGTAAGATTTTCCGAAATTCCTCAACTCGATGTTTTATTTGAACTATGAAAACTATAATTTTTTTACTGAATTTCTTTTGAAGCAAAACTCCAAAAACACATATGTGTTGGTTAATGTCGATTCTTTGTTTTCGAGAAAATTCGAAAATTTTGAAATTGGACAAAAAACACAAGTTCAAACAAATAATAAATCACTCATTTGTGGTTCGTTTATTATTATTCTTAAAAATAACAAACCACTTTCCGGAAAAAGAATACACTGTCAAGAAGAGCCTACTACAAAAATCCCATTTATCTATTTCATCTGCAGTTGATTTTGTGAATCTTTACATTACATCTTCAACTGTATTTTTTCTTACCAAATAACACAATATTTTCTAGATAATTCACAACTTAAAAAAAATCATTTTTTTTGTTTAAAAATATTTTTATTCCAAAAATTTTATCGTCTTCAAAAAATATATCTTGTCACCGTCTGAGTGTTTAAAAAACTAATTTAAGCGGTAATTGTAAATGCAGTGGGCGCTTTTCGTCCTCCTGACGGATTTCTAGCCACAATTAGCTGTTCGGACATTGCGTCGGAGGATGATCTTTGTGTGCTTGATGTCGTACGTGAGCTAGGGCGACTTTGATGCTCACCCACATTCCCAGAAGAATCATATCCACTTCTAAACAAGTATCACATTTCCATGCTCATTAGCGACTCGTTAGCCGAGTATACTAACCTTTGGCTATCCGGAACTGCGGGTGGTTTTCCACGAAGTGTAGGGATCACGGCACTTTGAGGGGTGACCGCCTGAAAAAGATTTGAACGTATTTTTGAAAATCAATAATATCATATGAGAGAGAAGGAACAACAACAAGAAGACACAAACCTTGTTCGGTTGCTTCTTCTCCCACCATTCCACTTCTCGTGGTTGTGAAGAATCAGGTCTTTGTTCCCTGGCCGCCACATTATATTGTTGTTCATATCTCGGTTGCTGCCGATTTCTAATCGGTTGTTGCGCTTGTTCAGAGTTGTCTACAAAGTAAATCAAAATGTAATGAGGCGCGTGTCAATTAGTCACCGGGAGAAAACGAGTTGGCTTGGCGCGGATTTTGTTGCCGCGGATGAATTGGCTCCTCATCGTCGTACGAGTCATAGTATTCTTGTTGTGGTTGTGGTGGTGGTCGCTGTTTTGGGACTTGCCGTTCTTTTTGATATTCTGGTTGTCTCTGAAATTTGAAATTCTATTTTCAAAAATTGTGACGTCGAAAATAGAAACAGTTTTTTTTCTTTTTTTGCCATTCAAAATTTTGAAATTCTATTTTCAAAAAAAAAACACTAATCGTATTTTCGAAGACTTCCATTCAAAGACCCGTAAATCGAGTGAACTTCTGTGGTCCAGAAAAAAAGAAATAAAGTTCCTTGTCAAAAATGTTGAATACAACGAAAAGTTTGAAGGTTTTCTTGGGCGTTTGAAACTACAGCTCTCAAAAAATCTCATTTTACAAAAAACTCTATTATCTCGGTTCTCATGAGAGATATCAGAAGTGAAACTGATACAAGGTTCATAAAGATATCACCAGCATTTCATCAGTGACAAAATTTTGATATATTTCGAAGGAACCAAGATAACTTAGCTTAAATCAGTAGCGTGAATGATCTTCCATTAAAGTATTCACTGTACTTTATATAAACAGCAAAATTTTTGAAGAAAATCAAACTAGACATTTGAAAACTAACAAACCTGCTGCCTCTCATAAACCTGTTGATTCCTCAACTCTATAGCTCTGGCCTTCTCCTGTATCTGCCTCTTCTCTCTATTATCCTCTTCTTGAATCCGCTTCTGGTATTCCTCCCATTTCCGAATTTCCCGTTGCTCCAACTCAATTTCCTTCTGCTTCTCCAGGGCTTTCCGTCTCTTATTATCTTCGATTTGTTGTTGCAGCTCTAGTTTATGCTGCTCCTGGCTGCTCAACTTGTACTGCTCCTGTCCACTGGAAAAAAGATTCTTCTGATTTTTCTTGAAATTCGTTTTCAGGAAAACAACTCACAGTTTTTGCGAAAGGTTGGGTAGACTTCCATATTTGGCATTCATCGTGTTCTGTCGGTATTGTTGGCTAGCTGACATACGGGAGACGTTGGCTTGCGTGGTGTATGGGTCTTGTCTATTTTGATAAAGGTCTTGTTTGGATTGGCTACGCATCATTGGGTTGGGAGCATCCGAGTAAGGCTGAGAGGCTTGCGGTGGGTATGGTTGAGCCGCATTTTGAGCAAGAATTGGCATGTTTTGTTGAATCTGAATTTTCTCTGAGTGAATTCACTTCCTACACAGTGCCGGTTAATAAGATATACAAAAAACGTATATCAGTTGATTTTTGGCCATTTTGAACATTTTCAGCAGTCTGGAGCTCGGCTTTCAAGTTGTCCAGTTTGCGATCACTTTGAAAACATTGGAGGATGTAAAACAGATCTACATAAAACACTTTGCACTTACAGAATTTCTCAAATATTTCTTGGCATTTAAGCTATTAGCCGATTTCTGAGAGACACCTTCTATCGGCCCGTTTTTACAAATAACGTGAAAAAAAGAGTTTTTCTGAAATTGGCAAATAACCGAAAAACTTGAAATTCTCAAAAAATTCTTTAAACGCAAAGTTTTTGATTTAGGTATGTTTTACATTCTCCAAAAATTTCAAAATGAGGAATCTTCCGAGCTGAGCAGCTCCAGCCCACTTAAAATGGTCAAAAAGGCTACAAATCAACTGAAAAATACGTTTTCGTATATCTTATTGACCGATATAGTGCGTGATATCACCTGCGGTAAACAACTTGAGCTGGTCCGCCGTTTTGTTTCATCCCACCAAACTGCTGGTTAATCATCATGTTAATATGAGGTTCCACTGGCATGTAGACTAATTGACCATTCAGATAAATTGGTCTCAAAGCAACTATGGAATTCAAAGGATCAATCATTGAGGAATGGAAAGAAGACTGATAGATATTCGATTGATGAAGAGGTGGGATCGCAGTGTTCATGTATTGATTATTATTCTCTTGATTGCTCATCTGAGATGTAGAGGAAGAGCTATCAGTCATGCTGTTGGCAGTAGAGTTTATAAATGGGGAATCACTGGGTTGGAATTTTCTGGAATGTTTTTTTTATCTGGTTTTCAGGAACCAGGTGAATTTAGGTGTTCTTGGTATTCACTTTGAAATTCTCACCTGTTATCATATGGTACCGTATCCGAAGACCGAGATGTAGATTGTTGCTGTTTTAAACGAGGCGCAGCTGCAGTATGTTTATACTGCTCAAACTGAAAAAAAGGATTTTTCAAGAAAAAAGACAAAACTCATGATTACACATTGAGGTAATAATCACTTACAATTTCAGACCGGCTGGAAGCGTTGAATGCATATGTGCGAACCATTTTTTTTTCTGAAAAATATGTATAAAAGAGCTATACTAAACGACGCAAAAAAAGTGACCACTTTTAAAATATGAATAATAATGGGTGGTCAAGGCTTTTCCTTCCTTCTAACGGAAGGAAAGGGAGGAAATGTACGAATATGTAACGAAACTTAGCGCAATTTTCTAAAGAGAAGAGAAGGAGACACACAAGCGCAGGCGTTTCTCTCTCCCCATCGTCAGAGTGACCAAATGTTGTTATGGAAACCGTCTAGAAAACAAGTGTTAGTGATGGCGTTTCCCTCCGCTTTATCGCATGGCTCATGCTCACACACACATACACATCCACAAAGAATAATCCCATGGTTTCTATTCAGCCAATTTCCTGAGCAATTTCGAGAATGAAGCTAGAGGAAGCCGTGAAGTTGTGCGGTGGTCATTTTGGGGCAATGCATAAGCTTTTCAAAAAGTGCAGAAGACTTCAATGGGTTATAATGTTTTTGAAGGTTTTGGTTTTTAGTGAGCTGTTTTTGAGCGTTAAAAATTCTGGAAAAAACAGAGTTCGAAGTTTGTGGAACAGTAAAAATCTTAGGTTTCAAATTTTGTAACAGTTCACAGAAATCAAAAAATTTGCATTTTTGAGCTTCGGGATATTTTGCCACTAGACATTTAGCGACTAGACATTTTGATACCATAACAATACGGCAAATTGATATTTTTCCAAAAAAAAAATTTAGTTCGAAAAATTCAAAAAACTGAACAAATTTTAAAATTTTGGAATTTTTTGAATTCCATTTTTTTTTAAATTTTTGTTGTCTGAAACGTGTCTATTCACTTTGAAAACGGCCGGTTGCAAAGTGTCACAGAAGAATCCGTTATTTTTTCGACTCCGATTTTTTTAAATCAGGAAAAGTAAATACTGGGAACCCAAGCCAAGCCAAGAAAATAATGGAAAAAGTCCGGCCATAAAATATGTTTTTTTGTTACTAAAATTGTCAACAACACACCTGAAAAATCTGGAAAAAAATCATTTTTGATTGAAATTTTCCTAAAAGTTCACAGAAATAAAGAAATATGAATTTTTCTAGTTTTTGAGGATTCATTTTTCATTTGACTTTATTGAAAAAGCTTCTTACTTTTTGTTGTTATGCTTTGCCATCTTTCTTTTTTCGTTTTTTTTTGGGTTTTCAATCGTCAAGAGATATTGGTCTTGTTTAATTTGGATAATGCAATTATTTCCAGAAGAATTCTTTTTTTTTTCAAAGTTAACAAAGACTTCGAGAATCTTCTAACTTTTTTTGACATTTTTAGCTTTTGAAATTTGGTTATTTTCAGACATTTTCCTTAGGTGAAATTTTAACAACTTCAGGAAAAATTTTTTTCTTTAGAGACTTTCCGATCTCATCTTAAGATTCCAAAAAAAAAACCATTTGTGCAAACATCTTCATCATCTTCTCCCACTCGAATATGTGCTTAATACAGTAGCAGTATGAAAAATAAGCATTCATCATGAACTTTCGATTTTTAATACTTTTCACTGGTCAAATAAGCGTTTGAAGAAAAAAGGAAGACGGGGTGCGACGACTAAAATTGGTATGACCCAGATTGCAAAAACACGAGGCAAATATGTAAATAGACTGTGTATATACTACTAGACTGTCCCTTTAGAAAGTTTTTTGTCATGAAATCATATTCTTCATTCATCCATTTTGCTATGGCGAGACCCGTTTTCTCTGATCTCGAGTGACCTTTTTTCATTCGCTTCATAGAAACTATTGTATGCCATATCACCTAGACCGTTGCTTCTTACGCCGGCCAACATTCAGGACACCGCACAAAAAGAAAATTGGAAGGCGATAAAGGCAAGGATACCCAGCAGGATAGTTTCCAAGCATTCGCTCCAGGACGTCGAGACCGGGCGACCCACATAAATTCGGTCGACGAGATAAACCCTTCTTCTTCTCGTCGTTCTTGCGGATATATCACTTCATTTCACTTCTTTTCTCTTTTAACGGACAGTTCGCCCCCCCCCCCCCTCCCTCCCGCGCTAATCTCACTTTCTTTTTTCCATTCCCATCACTTTCACATTTATCAAGATAAGCCAAGTTTCTATAAAGCCTCAATTTCAGAAAACTATCGGTTTGAAAGATGAGGGTGTTGTTGTACACCCTCGCGGTGGTCGCCTCGTCGTCTGCACAATTTTTCATGTCTGGAAATAATCGAGAGAGTTATAACGATCAGTTTGGAGTCAAGGATGCCATTAGTTCATGGAGTGATGCATTGAGGAAGATTGCGCTCAGGAATAATCCTAAATTGTGAGTTTTTTTTTAAAGATTACTGTAAGGACAAATATTTCCAGTTAAGAAAAACCATTTGCCTTTTTTCTAACAGGTTGCCATTCTCATAATTTCACATTGTGATTCAAAATTTTTTAATTGTATTGTATTAGATGTTCAATTTTAGAAAGTTTTAGTAATTTTGATCATCTTTAGAAGGATAGAGCTTTTCAGTTTTTCATTATTTAACGTTTAGTTAAAAGTTTAACGTTTAGTTAAAAGTTTAGAGAATAGACAAAAGAATTAGAAAATAAGAGAGTAAAACAAACCTTAATTTAAAACTTTGGGTTTGCAAAATTTTTGATAATTCCTAGTTTTTCAGCTTTTTGCCGATTTTTCAAATTCGCCGGCGTTTTCTTGTTTTTAACATAAAACCGGGCGGAAAAGGGGTATTTCTTAAAATAATTCGGATTTCTTAAAAATTAGGAAGTTTCAAAAATTTCTGTGAATGCAAAGTTTTTAATTTAGGTCTGTTTTACATCCTCCAATGTTTTCAAAATAATCGCAAACTCTGGACAGCTGAGCTTCAGACACCTGGAAATGATGAAAATGTCCAAATATCAACAAAAAATATTTGTGACAGGATTCTTTTTTTCCAGCTACGCACCAAGCAACGTGAAACAATTCACCATCGAACCACCTGCATTCAAACCAGAAGATCTCGATCTGAACAAGCTGAAACGTGGAAAAGGAGACTCTATCATTAACGAGAAAATGTTGACGTTGCTCCTGCCGCGTATGAAGGGGCAGAACCCATTTACCACGACCACCACTTCCACGACACCAAAGCCAACGACAACTACCAAGACAACTACAACCACCACCACGACTACAACTACAACTACAACTACTCCCGCACCAACAGCTACAACCACTAAGCCTACAACTACCCCAACTACCACAGAAGCCACAACGACAACCGAAGAACTACCAAAACAACAACTTGCCGGACGATTGGTTCAGCCGGATATGGATAGTGGCGAGGTAAGACACATCCCTGTTCGTTTAACGACTCGATTTACAATCTCATTTCTTTTAGCCAGAGTCGGCGGAAGATGGTATCGAGAAGAAAAAGGAAAGTCGAGTGGAATTTACGACCGATGACAACAATGTTAGCCAGGAGGAGGATGCTAAACCAGATAAGAAGGAAGAGGTTTAATCTTGTTGTTAAGAACAATCATTGGTTTTATTTTTTTCAGAAAGAAAAGGAAGAAGAGGCAACTACTGAAGCCTCTACTGAAGCCACTACTACAGAAAAATCCAGCACAGCTAAACCTACAACCAAAGCTACTTCCAAAGCTCCTTCTAATTCAAAAGACACCAAGTTATCTGTAAAAATTAGAAGTGAGGATGAGAAGAAGGAGCAGGACAAACTGTCCGATGATGACAAGCCAGAGTACATGAAAAAGTTGGAAGAGATTTATGCTAAAGAGGAGGAGCTTGTGGAGAAGGAGTTGGCGGATATGTCTGTGGCTGAGATTTTCAAGAAAGAAGTCACCACCACAACGACCACTACGAAAAAGCCAACTACAAAGAAGGCTACAACGAAAACTACCAAAGCTACAACCACCACTGAAGCCACAACTACCACTGAAGCTACTACAACCACGACCACGATTACTACCGAGGCACCAACAACTACAACAATCACAACGACCACAACGACTACAGAACCAACCACAACCACCACAGAACCAACAACGACTACCAAGGATCCACTAGCTGAGAATGAAGAACTTGCTAAACAAGCTGTCGAGGTACAGTACCGGGCCGTGAGAGACACAAACACATATTTTCAGTTGATTTTCTGTTATTTAGGCTATTTTAAGGAGTCTGGAACTTGACTGTCAAGTTTTCCGAGAACTTTCAAAACTTTGGAGGGTGTGAAACTAACCTAGATCGAAAAATTACATTCACAGAAAATTAGGAAAATGCCTAGTTTCATAGCTATGCGCCGATTTCTGAGAGAGATTTTTCAATAGCTTTCTTTGTACCGAAAACGTAAAAAAAACGGATGTTTTTTTTTAATTGGCAAAACTAGTAATATCAAAAAATTCTGTGAATGCCAAACTTTTATTCTCGTTTAGTTTCACACCTTCAAAAATTTTCAAACGGATCGGAAACTTTACAGACGAGCTCTAGACTCCTGAAATTGGCCGATAATCAACTGAAAAATATGTTTTTGCATATCTTATTGATCGGTACTCTGAGTGTTATCTATTCATAACCAATTCCCATTACTTTTTGATATTCAGGTTCTCAAATCGCTTGATGAAGAGGAAAAAGCCGACGAGGAGAAGAATGTGGAAGTCCAAAAGCGCAAAGACGAACGAGACGCCGCGAGAAAAAGAATCAACAACTTTTTGAAAATGATGCGTAAGATATCAAAAACATAGGGGGGGGGGGGGGCAGCCAGTGACTCAGATATTCATTTCCAGAGAAAGCTAGGGAAAACAAAAACAAGCCGCATAAGGAGACGACAACAGAGGTGCCAAAGACGACTAAACCTGAGACAACGACGGCTACAACCGAAGCTGTGACTTCTGAAGCCACCCCAGAAGCCACTACAACTACCACTGAGGCTACGACGAGTACAAAGCCACCATCGAACATTCCAGAAGCGGAAGAGGAGATTGAAGAAGAAGAAGCAACGTCTACTACTACAGCTGGAGATGGAGAGACCACCACTTCAGATATTCCAGAATATATAAAACAGAGAAATGCGCTAGTTGGAAGTGAGCTTTCAGGGTCAAACTCTCTTTAGATGATCCCTTTATTCCAGTCAAAACTCTGTCGCCAGCCGAGCTCGAAGCTGCTATCAATGCCAAGCCAATAACATCATCTGCTGAACAAAAGGATTCAACCAGCGAACCGTCGAGCTTCATCACAGGCGCTCCATCCGCCGCTTCTGCTGCAGCTGCCGTCGCCCTCCCAGAACCAGCTGCTCCACCACAGATTGCTCTTCCACAACTAACCGCTCCTCAACTCTCTCAACTCATGAGGCCAGTTGCTGGAATTATGGAGGACATCCGTCCAATTCTCGGTTCCATTCTTCAAGGATCATCTGCTTCAAGAGCTAGAGTAAACTAGAAATTTGTAGACCAATTGAAAATCAAGTCATATTCAGGCCGCTTCTGTCAGAACCTACGAGAGAGCCAGAACTCCAAACATTCGAGATATCATGGCTGATGGATACTCTGAGAACTCATTAGTAGGATTCGGCTCACAGCTGGCTAGAGAGATTTTGAATCCGGGTATTTTGAAAAGAGATAAGCAGTCAAGAGAAAAAGCGATGGCCGCTAAAATTGAAGAAGCAAAAATCAGAAACAATGCTGCAGCGGAGGCAATGGCCACTGGAGCACCGCTAGACCTCTCTGCCTATCAGAACTATGCTCAACAACAGAAACCAGTGGCAACAAATGTAATTAAAATATTTACAGTTGCTCTCAATGAGATATACGAAAATGTATTTTTTTAGTTGATTTTCACGACTTTTAGGAGACTGGAGCTCGGCTATCAAGATTCCAATCACTTTGAAAATCTTGGAAGGTGTAAATCAGACCTGGTTGGAAAACTTTGTATTATAGAGTTTTTCGAAAATTCCTAATTTTCCAGATATTTGCCGATTTCCGCAAGATTTGACTCGTTTTATACTAAAAACGTGAAAAAAACAGGTTTTATTCAGAAGTCGGCAAATAGCTGGAAATCCAAGGAATTATTTGAAAAGTTATGTCAAATCAAAATTATCAATCTGTGTGTTTTTTACACCCTCTGAATATTTCAAAGTGATCGGATGCTTAACAGTCGAGATCCACTCTTGAAAATGATCAATTGCCAAAACTCAACAAACTGAAAAATACGTTTTTGTACATTTTATTGATCGTTACTGTAACTTATGAAACCTTACAACTAGAAATTAATTTTAGGGAAACCTTCCATACTTCATTCCCCCACCAAAAGGATACGTCGGACCACTACCACCAGCACCACCACCACCAACCTTCCGTGTTGCCCCACAAGCTCCAGTACCACTTCCAGTAGTAGAGACACCTCAGCCAGTGACCCTTCCACCAACGACTCTTCCAGTGATCACCACTAAGAAAACTCGTGAGTCACATTCAATGAGCTGATTTTTTATTCATTTTAATCAACATATAAAACGTTTTTCAGCAAGAACCAAAGATGAGGGCTATGAGCAAGGACGTGATGATGTTCATGCTACATTTAATGGAGATTCCGGAGTGATGATGGGTGGTAGACACAGTATGCCTACCCCTGACTTTATGAACATGCCAAGTGAATCATTCGGTCTAGCTCCGGCTCCAGCTCCGCCATCACCAGCAACCACAGCTAGCACTTCAGCTCCCACAGCTGCCGCTGAAACACCACCAGCACCCGGAGCACCAGCTCCATCCCCATTTGGAGGCGGAGGCTTTGGAGGAGGTAGCGGGTTTGGAGGAGGAGTGGTGGAGGCTTCGGAGGTGGATCCGGACCATCAGTTCCGTTTGATGAGGTTGAGAAGAATACAAAGACAGATTACTCGTTCTTCACATCGAATAGAAAGAAGATGTAAATGTGATAACTTGAATATTGAGGTGTCATAGACGTTTAGCCATAACGGAGTACTTAATAATTCATAATAATGATAATAATAATTTTAATAATACCTATGCTTGATCTGCGTTTAATCATTTTATTTCGTTTTTTTTTGACTGGTATCACTTGTGAACAAGTTCTAATGAAAATTTATTTTTGCAAAATCCTAGCATTTAGAGGCTACAGTATGTATGGAGTGCATTTGGTTACATTATTTTCACATCCCTGATGCAATATGTTGTTAAAAAATGTTTTCTCATTCGTCTGACGTTAATATAACATTGTGTTGCACAATATAAAAAGCGCTCAGGATCGTCTCAAAAAATGCTTCAGAAAATGTTTTCTTCAAAAACCAAAACTACCATATTCTTACTCCTAGTTCTCATCCTTGCTGTGAATTCGGCGATTCTACCTAGCGGACTTTCAAAACGTTCCATTCGCTCCGAACTTTGTGTTAACAATGATGATTGCATGTTTGGCACATGTAGAAGGGGAATTTGCAATCTTTCTCGGAAGAAGAGAGAAGCTTTCGTGCAAACGCCGTGTTTCCTGATGCCGGAATGCTGGCATTATCACCAAGTATGCCCATTTGACCTCTTCTGCTTTCATGTTCCCATAGGAAAAAAGTAATGTTTAGTGTTAATAAAATGTTTGTATTATGATTTTAAATTCAAGCAAAAAAGAAGGATTCTCCCATTTCAGACAAGTACGAAACTTCGGAATAAAATTTGGAAGCACGTTCACAAAACGTAAAACTTGTCAAACTGTGCGTTTCAAGTTCATACGGTCACTTGTGTTTCAGGTCACAACTTGTGAATCGCTAGAGATATCATTCTAAAAATTGAAAAATCGGATTTTAGACAACAAATAAAATACATTTAGTAAGCGATTTCTGTCCTGCAATGTGGAAAACTATTGGAGCTATCTTCAAAAGTATGAAAATTGTCATTTTTAACTGTTGAAAGTTTATAAAGCCACTTCTCATATCGGTAGATCATGATCTCCAGGACTCCAGGCTTTGAAATTTTCTAATCTGAGTGAGGCTCTGATATTTGGTTTATATCATTGTTAACGTCTCAATCTTTGTTGAAATTCTACTTTGTTTCCTCCTGGTAAAGTTCTGGAAAATTTGAAAAAACGCCATTGTGTTTTTGAGCTGCCGGAATTTTTCTGAAGCCCAATCGTTTCCAGAAAATTCTCGGCATTGGTTGTTATCGTTGAAGTAACAATTTTTCACTTTTTTTTTCTGAATATTTTCACAAAAATAGAAATATGTTTTAGTTTTTCCGGCCAGTCTAGATACTGTTTCTATTCCAAAAGGGATACTTTGTAATGGGACTTTCAAAAATATGAATTCTGTTGAATTCCGAAGTTTTTCGAAAATTTCGGAAGATCGACTTGATGAAACTGACAATTTGTGGGGTTCGTTTGTATAGATATATCCATACTTGCAACGGGCCGTGCCGGGCTTTCAAAAAGTTGGTCAAGGCCCGGCCCGGCCCGGAAGGCCCGGACAGTTTTGGCCAGCTTCCAAATTTAGGAAAAATAATTCTTTTTTTTTGGAAAAACGTTGAATTAGCATCTAATTTTGAGCTGAATTGTAAGTATCAAATTTTCAATGCTTAAACAAAATTATAAAAATAAAAAATGTTTGCTTACTTTTTTCCGGATGTGGGATCGGACTGAAAATTGCATTTTTGAAGTAAAATAACACTTTTTTCTCAAAAACTAATTGTTTTTGTTTAAAAAAATTTCAAGAATTTACCAAAAAACATTTTTGTTTGAGAAATTTCGATCAAAAATTCCTTTCCGGGCCTTCAACGATTTTTGCAAGTATGGATATATCATTTCATCATTTTGCAACCGGACGTTTTAGAACTAATAATTTCGCAACTAATGATTTCAATACAAAATGTTTCAGAAAAGTCGATTTCAGAAAAAAAAATCAAAACATCCGTTACAAACGGCCCATACTCCGGGGGTACATCAAAAAGGGGTACATTGAGGGTACATCACTCTTATAGGGTACATTGACTCAGAGGGTACATTGACTGATAGGGTACATCTGTGGAGGAGTCTGATAGGGTACATTGACTCAGAGGGTACATTGACTGATAGGGTACATCTGTGGAGGAGTCTGATAGGGTACATTTAAGCAACTCTCATAGGGTACATCGACGAAATACTCAAAGGGTACATCGAAAAAATCTGAAAGGGTACATTGGTCTGATTTCGCACAGTTTTCGAATGTTCGTAACTTAATGAGACGGACAAGTTTTATAACGAAGTTTCGGTCATTCATCGGATTATAAGCAACTTACTGATGCTCGGCGAGGTTTTGCAACGTGCTCCTCCTCAATCTTGAATAGTAAGCGCTCATTCCTCGACACTTAGGGACGAACATTGTATCTTTCATTGTATCTGTTTGAAGTTATTTATCTTCCTGGGCTAGAAAAAAAAGTGTAGCTCGCTGCTCAAGCTTTCAGAATGCGGGTAAATTACTAAAATTGTTTTGAAATAGCGTTCCTGAGTGATCGAGAAATGAGCGCGTACTATTCAAGATTGAGGAGGAGCACGTTGCAAAACCTCGCCGAGCATCAGTAAGTTGCTTATAATCCGATGAATGACCGAAACTTCGTTATAAAACTTGTCCGTCTCATTAAGTTACGAACATTCGAAAACTGTGCGAAATCAGACCAATGTACCCTTTCAGATTTTTTCGATGTACCCTTTGAGTATTTCGTCGATGTACCCTATGAGAGTTGCTTAAATGTACCCTATCAGACTCCTCCACAGATGTACCCTATCAGTCAATGTACCCTCTGAGTCAATGTACCCTATAAGAGTGATGTACCCTTTTTCGATGTACCCTCGGAGTAAAATCAAAACATCCGTTACAAACTACAATATCGTTAATTTGAAATTGATTTCTTTGCTTCTTACATTAATTGTATTCGAGTCTGTTCGACATCAACGGAATACATGAGAGAGTGAAAACATGTAGAAAAATTGTCTATGTGATTCACAGTCTTCTACATAATTCACAGTCCATCGAGATTTGTTTTTGAAAAACATATTTGCTCTATATAAAACTTCGAGCTAGTATACAGAGACAAACTCAACAATGATTTGTTTGAAACATTTACGAAACATTTGATGTTAGCTCTTACTGTCGCTGCGTATCCGTATCTGTGGATGAGGACCAACACGCAACCACCCACAACGCTTCGTGGTCCATGTGCTTCGGAATGCCTCGTATACCGTGATTGCAAATGCTCCCACTTGGGTCTTTGGAAGATCAGCGGACCAGGAACAATCCGGCCGGATATATTTTTTGGCAGGAAATAATTTTTGTAACATAATTTTTGAAACCCCACTCCTTTGAATAAAGTACTTTCATTCAACAAAAAAAACGAGATTACGGTTTCAAAAAGTTATAATTTCAATACACGATTCAACACGCGGAAAACTGAGCAAAAAAATGGCGAAGGAGAAATGGCTAGTGTGTTTTGTACAAAAGTGTAATAATAAACTTGGGTAGAAAAAAAAACAAAAAACTATAAAAATATGATTCAATCTACTTTGATGTGCTGCTGACTATCATCGGTGTCCTGTTCTCCAAGTTTGAATTTTGGTTTCAAGGATGAGATTTTCCTGATCATCTCCTCTTCGTCGTCCTGTTCATCAATCTGTTTGAGCAGCTCATTTCGTTCCTCTTCTGTGATTCCTTGCATAATGTTCAAAATGTCGCTGGATTTTTCTTCGAGCATCGAGTTCAGAGTGGTGGTACGAGCAAGACGTTCAAAGTAGAGTTTTTGTTGCAGTGTTACTAGTTTGCTTGATACCTGGAAAACTGATAAGGTGATTGATAAGTGAGAATCGAAAAGCGTATTGACAACCATGCAATAAGCCAGACCAATTTTTTGATATTTTAACATTTAAATGAAGCAAGTCGGTCAGTACTACAAGATGTTACTGTTTGAAAATCTGTCCTTCACATATGTAATGTCACTAGCCAAGTAGAAAGCGGAAAAATATTTTTGGTTGATTTTTCTCGCCTCAACAACTTCATGGTCTAGAACCAGGGATGTTCGGAACAGAATTCCAAATTTCGAAAATTCCAAAAACTTTTGAATGGGTGGTTTTTTTTTTACAAAAATCGGAATATTCCGATGATTCTGAGATTTCGAAATTTTCAAAATCGGAATATTTCAAAATTCTGAATTTCCGAAATAAAACAAACCAGAATTTTTGGATATCCCGATACAACCCGAAAAGGCGATTTCGAACATTCCTGACTACACCTTTTATGTAAAGTACAGTTTTTCATTTTAAAAAATCATATTTAAAAAACTTCTTCTCGATTTCCATCAAATCATATTCAATTGTTCCGAAAATATTGAGGCTCAAAGAAGCTGTTACCAGCTCGTTTCGACATGTTATCCAATTGATAGCAAATGCTTTCGGTTTTTCCAAAATTGAGAGCTTCCTTTTATATTTTTCTACTGGTTGAAAACAAGTTAATAGCTCCACCAAGATAAAAATTAGAATGCACGTTTTCTCGAAACTGTTCTTTTTTTCCAAGCTAAATACTCACCCGTTCTCTCTTCAACGCTCCATCCCACTCCAAATCAATCAATCCTCCCTTTTTAGCAATTGCTCGCTTCACTCTCTTTGCAAACGAAATAGAATCTTCACCATCTCCTCTTGTCATTGGTGGCAGATACCAAACGTCACAAATGATCGCCCAAGAAGTCATCATACTCCACAAATATCTTCCGTAAGATTGAGCACTGCTGTTCCAGAAGGCATCAGTGAGACGGGTATCGTATTTGACAGCGATTGGGTAGATTGTGGAGCCGATCTCAAATGATCCCTTTTTGAACATCATCACGGAAGTGTTATTGATGCATGTTCCCTCGGGGAAGATGATGATCGGTAGCTTGTTTTCATCCTCAACATGTTCACGCATTCTGGGAAAGGATCGAGTCAGAAAAACAACTTCTGCAGTCAAAAACTCACCTATTCATGACTTGTTTTCTATCTCCAGCCTCTCCTCTCTCAAACCAAATGTGGTGTTCCGATCTGCTGAGCGTCGTTTGCAAGAATCCCAAAAATCCTCCTTGTTTCTGACCAATCATAGCGTAGCAATTGTCACAGGACAGAACCATGACGTCGATTGGCGACGTGTGGTTCGCAACACATATTCCTCCTTTGTTGGCTCGATTCTCTTTATCGTGGAAACGAATAACACTTGAGAATGCGCGAGAGTAGATTCTCATGCACATCAACATACATCTTCGGTTCAGGAACTTTCGGGTTCTGGAACAATGCAAAATTTGCAAAACGTTCAGTTTTTTAGCTTTATTTGGCCGCATTATTAATCAATTTCGGGGATTTCGAATTTAGGCAGAAAACTCACTTTGCATGTGGGATCAATCCGATGATAGATGTTGAAACGATCATCAGTACGATTGCAATGACGAACAGAGCAATTCTGCATGGGACAAGCACGTAGTAGCGGAACATGAACCCAGCGATCCAGAGTGCGGTCAGCTGCCAGCTGGAAAAGAGATTTTTTAAAGAAAATGTTTTCCAAATTTTAGTAGTCTTTCTAACAACAAAACTTATCTATTAAACTTGTTCATTTTATAAGTTTTGGTATGGTTTACTAAATAATCAGTTTTCATGGCTTTGAAAATCTCAATGTGTCAAATGTGACGCTGTGAGCTGTGAGTCTGAAAAATTGGCTCTTTTCAGAAGCATTCATATTTTAGCCATCAAGTCTTGGCAGTTTCCAATTGAGTTCAGTTGTGTTTCTATGTTGATGCATCCATTTGGGGTTTTTGGGAAATTTCAGTATCTTGAGATATTGTAAGGTTGCGATAACAAGTATTTTTGTAATTTAGCTCGCAATATCATGTTTATAAAAATTGCTCAAGTTATCCGAACTCTCTCATGTATAGTACCAATCTAAAAGATGTACAAAAACATATTTTTCAGTAGATTTTTGACCTTTTTGAGTATTTTCAGAACCCTGGAGCTTGGTTGCACAGTTTCCCATTGCTTCAAAATTTTTGGAGTTTTGTTTACTAACTTCGCAGTCATAGAACTTCTGAAATATCCTAGTTTTTCAGCGATTTGCCAATTTTTTGAAGACCTCGGTTTTTTTTCAAGTTTTTTTTTCACCGGAAAATCGACCGCCAATCTCCAGACTTCTGGAAATGATCAAACTGGCCAAAAATCAACTGAAGAATGAGTTTTTGTATACTTTATTGACCAGTGCTGTATGTGTTGATGTCTTTTGACTTGATTATTTCAATGTTCTTCAACTTTTTCCATTTTTTCAAATTTTCAAATACTCACTTAAGAAAATGGAACGTAAATTTGGTGCGACTTAGCAAATTCCATGATGGTAATTGAGCTGCAGAGAACCGGTTGGTGACTTGATCCTCGATGACAGCTTCCATTCCAGCCTAAAAATCTTTTTTTTCAGTTTATTTCATAAGCTATATGTAATACCGTAATAAAATCCAGAGTATCATCGACAAGAACGCTGACTGTTGATTGTTTTGATTCCGTTACATTCGTCTCATGCAGTTTGGCGTCGATGATGTCAGATTTCTCTCGATTGATGATGCCTGAAAAATGTATTGATCAAAAAATTAAAAAAAAAGAAACTCACCAAGGTCGGATGAGGATGAAGACCGCCGGATTTTCTTGTGTTGTGCCGGGAATTCATCTTCTTCAATAACCGAGTCTTCCTCGACATCAGATTCTTCGCTGAGCGTGGCTCCCCACTGAAAAAATGATAATGATAAGTGGGTTATCAGAGTAATCTTTGCTCTCCTCCCGCATTTCACTCCTCCCCAACCAAAAACTTACCTCGAAAATTCGAATCAATGTTTCCACATAAAGCTCACGAAGTCCCAAAGTCTTGCCGGTGACTGCCAGGAAGATCAGTAGAAGGATCAGGAACCAAAATAAGAGGAAAATCATCCTAAAAATTGAAACTATGAGATAGAAACTCGAGAAAAAAAAGAAAAAAGATTGCGTACGTGAGGGTCGAAAAAACTAGTGAAAAGGCAACAAGAAGAAAAATGAAAAAAGCGAGAGAAAAAAAGAAGAAAAATGGGATGTAAACACTCATTTTGATCAGGGATATCATCCATCAATTGTTGAAAATGATATGTTTGATTAATTTTTTCTCCGCATTTTCGACTTTCCACATATGCGAAAAATTGGCAACAACTTGAGAAAACGATTGCGGAATAAAACAAAAGATTTTTCAACTGATAAGACCAACAACGACCCCGAATCAATCACCAACTCTCTAACATCATCTAGTAAACAACTCTCAGCAGCACATGGACTGGAAGAAAATCGATAGGTTGGGAAGAGATGAGAGGGGGAACAAGAGAAAAGGCAACAATACTAAACGGTGAGGACGAACGGGAGGAGGTTAACCGGCGGGAAGAAGAGCGCGCGGAATGAGGGCCCTAGAGTACAGGGTACGCAGCACTACAATGTACTTTGGACCCTCGGGGCCTCACGTTTGTTGTGTTTCAATGGTCAATTTGACATCAATAGAAGTTTTTTTGACCTACTCTGTCTAGTCTAGCGAGCAGAGTGGAAGGTAGCAAGTCTAACATGTTTATCGCCTATCTATTCTTTTTTATTTCTAAACACTCATTCGAATGATATTTTTTGAAAATGAAATTTTATAGAAAAAAAAGATTATAGTAGAAAGCGAAACGAAACAAAAAACAGATCTAAATTTGAGATCACAAAAAATTTACAAAAGCCTAACTATTCTATTATCGTCTGAGAAAAAAAGGTTGATAGCGGATATCTCAATTAATTTTTCTTGAAAACGCAAAGGCGAATTACTGTATTGTTGGAGTCTATTTTGAAAATTATTTTCCTATTTTCTCAATCTTTCGACAATTAATGCAGGCAAACGGATAAATTTAAGACTGCAAAAACAATTTGAGGAAAAAACCCCAAGCATGATTTTCTGATGGAACACATTCTGAAAATCGCAAAAATTCAAAACTTGATGATCTTGAAAGAAGAAGATTTTTTGAATTTTTCAGTTTTCAGATTCTGTTCTATCAGAAAAAAAAATTTTTTTAACCCTAAAATTGTTTTTGTAGTCTGAAATTTATCCATTCGCTGAAGGACAGTTTGCTCTTGCGCCTTAAGAAAAATTCAACGAGATATCCGCTCTCAAAGACAATTTGTTTGCTTACTAGTTAGATGACGATAATACCGTGAATAGCCTGATGAAACGATATTCTATTCTTGCGCTTCGAGCAACATTACGACAATTTCTATGAAAGATTTCCCGCTGGCAGGTAAATTCCCTTTACTGATCCTCCCTCTTTCATTGCGTTTTTCACAATCAAAACAAAATGAAAATTGAGTACAATTTATTAAGCATGAAAATTTCTATACTTATACATAGTTAGATACAATTAAAAAATAAAAAATAGGAAATAAAATAGTGTCTTAAATATCAATGACTATTGAAGGAGATATGAAATAAATAGGGGAAATTATTTGTTAACTTTGAAATTCCGAGCCAAACATTCGAACTTTTGAAGTGTGTTCAGAAAGAGTTGTCACAATCGGGGAAGACGCCGAAGACGAGTTTTGAAATCTGAGGAATAGTCGATATTGACAGCGAAAAACGTAACTTACAGTCATCGGTGCTTCATTTTGTCGCTGACGGGTGTGTTAAGCTAGGACGAGCCATTGACCATGCTCTGAAAAAGAAAAGAAAAATTGCAAAAATTTTCCTATTTTATCACAAATTACGCCATATGATAACTTATACAGGGGCCAACCAAATAAAATTACTATAAAATAAGAAAAAACGACGAAAAAAAAATATAGAAAATGAAAAAAAAATCCAGCCGCGCGGAGCATCGTTTGACCTGGCAGGATCTCTTACCTTCTAGCCTGCCGGCAGCAGCTTTTTTGATGATGTAATCGTCATTTTACCTGCCGGATATAACTTTGAACACAATAGTTCCTGCCGGCGGAAATCTTAACCCCCCGGCAGGAACTCCATTCTTGTCTGAGTAATATCACGAAAGTTTTACCAATTGACAAATTCATTTTTTGTTAATTTAGTGTTACAACGATCAGAACTTTTTTATGTTTTTTGAAAATCCTTTTAACCTTTTTTCGCTTTTTTCGTAAATGCTCTTATCAAAAACCACTTCAATTACTCGAATTGTTATGCATATCTGATTTTCTAGTTTGGCCTTTAGGAATTTTCTAATGACTGAACTTCTGAATTTCTGAATTCCTCGTATTCTGCATTTCAAATATTTTACTTTTTTTCGAAATAAAAACATTTTCCTGGCTTTGAATATCCCGCAAACTTTCGACAAAGCCATTAGGACACAGATACTTTCACACACCATCTTACCAACCCCTGAGCACTGCTCCTTGCATATCGAGGTAATCCGAAAAAATCTCCATAAAATTATTTCTCAATTTTCAAATCCGTTCAGGCTTCCCACGCAAAAACAATCAAATTGAAATTATTTAAAAACCTGAATCGTAGAACTATGAGATGCAGAAAAAAAGCCGTTCATGTTTATTCATCTGTAACGTGGCTGATAAAAAAAATGCGAAATTCAGGTTTTTTTTTGAAATATAAGACTAGAAACCTTGCCATGTGAGGATACCCGTTTTCGCTTCAAAGTTAAATCCAGAATAAAAGTTAGTGAATTTTTGACCTTTTTGAATCCGAAAGATCAATTATTAACCTTTTCAACTAACGGGTCATCTTTATATTTTTTTCTCGGTACTGTGATCACTGAAAATGTTTTTGAATGTGAGTTAGTTGAAGTTGAATGTCAGAGTTCATTTTGCACATTCTCAAAAGCATTGGATTCAAAAAAGTTCTCATTAAAACAGAACCTCCGTTTTGTATTTTTGATCATTTTGCTTGTTGTCTAGTAGAACGTCTTCAAAACTTTCTAAAACACCAGAAAAATTTATTAAAATCACCAGGAAAATTCATTTGAAATGTATGACATTTGATGCTCATGTGAGACAAGATTAGGGATTTGATGAAATAAATAAATTAATAATAGAAACCATGACGACCCGTTTTACATGTATTTCGAGAACTCGTAATAAAATGTGATGATAAGTGCTCCACCAGTAGATCGGAGCGAGTTTGTGAGAGCACCTCGGTAGAATCCATTGAATCCGTCTTTTCTGAAAAATTAGTTTATTTTTCATTTCAAAAAATAAATCTTCAACTCACTTGTATAAAGTTTTCCAGCAATCTTTCGTGCTAGCATATTGCTTCACTTTCTTTCCAGCTTGCATCATCATACTGCGTCGTACAGTATCCAACGGATAGCACATCATGCCACTTGTAGTGATAGACACCTGTGCAATTGCCCAGCATGCCGCGAAATTCAAGGATTTTGGATCCTCTACACTTGTTCTAATACTGTCGAAGATTCCAAAGAAGATGGCTCGAGAGGCAATGACAAACTGCATAGCTGCGGAGAGTCCTCTAGAAAATTCCTCTATAAAATCAGAATTTCAAAAGGATTCGACTCACTTAAACCAGGATGTCACGCCTTCACGGGCTCTAATCTTCTGGAGACAGTCAACCATTCCTGTATATTTCTTTGATCCATCTTTCTTGGTGTCCAAGGCAAGACGAGTTCTGGCAAAGTCGAATGGATACAAAATGAAGAGTGTAGTCGCGCCACCAAGACCTCCTGATACAAATGTACCTGAAAGTAATTAATCAGCTGATGAGTACAAAAGGAAATGACTGACCGGCAAGAAACTTGCTGAAACTCTTCTGACGGTCAACGTTTTTGAGAAGTTTATTTCTGTAGATGTCACGGAATGCAAAATTGAGCGTGTGGTTTGGAAGACATCTAGCTACACCGGCTCCGTTTCCTCTCCAAAGAGCCATAGGGCCTTGTTCCAGTCTAATTTTTGTAAGGCAGTCTCGAATTCCATTGTATTCTGCTACAGCGAATTCTCCTTTCCTTTGAAGCTGAAATTTTATATATTTGTTTGTTGATATTGCCTTTGAATGAGAAAAAAAACAAAAAAGACACAAATTCCTCACCTGGAGGACAAGTTTGACACGGTCAAACGGCGCTGTTGTCGTTTTGCTGATGGCAGCGGCGGCACTTCCTGCCAAACATTTTTTGCACGTTTCAAATGCATCTAGACTTGATGTGGATGCCATTGGAGTTTGAAGCTGAAAAGTAAAGATTCTTCAGTTCAAATTAGGAGTAAATGGCGTGAGAAGGAAAGTGGAGTAGTATGATGAAAGTCCTAGACTCTCAAACATTGCAAAATGAATGAACTTGATTTGAAAATGCGGCAATGGTATGATAGGCAGTCATTAAGAGAGACAAGGAAACGACACACTCTTTGATAATGCAAAGAAATGAGACGTAGATCACACCACCAGCTGATAGGAGAGAGAATGATTTTTCTTCTTCTAAGAAGCTTCCTCTTCTGCACGTGGGCAGCTTCAGGAACTTTACAAGAACCCAAAAATCGTATGCCCTAAAAATATATTTTGATGCACCACCACCCCAAAACTTTCTAGAGAAAAACATCATCATGTGGTCCCGTTCGTTCGCCATGAAAAGCATTCCTTATTTATCAAGCTGATGAAATCTCAAAGATGACTAAGGAAGAAAAAAAGGGAGAACAAGAACGGTCTATGCAGCGCAGTCTTTGCAAAATGCGTTGATATAGTGGCTGGGGGTGGAGGAGACTAAGACAAAAGATGGGGTGAGGTCGCACTCGACAAGGAAAACCCCCAGAACGGAGTGGCGGGAAGAGCACGTGAATGGCAGCTGAAGAAAATGGGGGGAGGGAGGTACAATGTGGAGGAGGAAGGAGGAATAGGAAGGCCCACTGCGATTAGTAGAATGACCAACTGTTGCAGGCTGTGATCTTCGAGAAGAGCTCGGAGAGAAAGGATGCAAAAAGTTGTATAATGGGAAAGGATGTGACTGAATGGATGGGTTTTTGAGATTGAAAAGCTGATAGGTGGGAGATGTACAATTAGTGGTGTGTAGAGATGAAGGACTGAAAAATGAGGAAGAAGAAGAAAATCTATCTAGATTATAGAAAAGAATCTGAGGAAATGGAATTTTCACATTTGGTTTGTGTTTGACAACGGTAGAAACTATGTGGGGGATTACTGTAACTCAAAATGTTGGTGGATTCTTGTCTCATCCTTTTTTGATTTTTGAAAATTGGAGCATTTTTTATTACTGATAATGTATAACATTTTTATGAATGATCACTAGATTCAAACATTCGTGTTTCCTTCAATGAAACGCCACTACTATAATTTATCGTTTTGTACAATTACCGTCGCCATTGTAATAGAATCTCCCCCAAACGAACTTTCAAACCAACTTTGGGCCACTGTATCTCGGTTCCTGTCATAGATATCAAAAAAAGATCAACTGACAAAATGTTGTTTGAATGATGAATAAAATTTTGTTAGTTGACCACTTTTTGATATATTTTACTGAAAATGAGATATGTCGGCATAAAGTTCACATCTCGAGGTCATTCTGTTGAAATCGAGATAATTGAGGTCAAATTGAAAATATCCGAGTGCCGTTTTATAAGAAGAAATACGGTACACGAGTTCATGAATACCTTGAGATAGATTATTATTGTTTCCAGTTTCTCAAGTATTTTCAGTTATGATAAGGTTTCCTAAGCCAAAAAACTCATTGCAGTCTAAATTCCAAATGAAAATCACTTTAAAAACTCCTTGTGACACTCATAAAACTTTGTTTTTTTCTACAGTAATCCTAAGAAATTTGTGAAAAAACTATGAAGGTTCCTAGTTGAACTTGTGTGTCCTAAAGCGTTTCACTCACCGTTTTCAATTTGTCAAGAGCCGTTTGTTAGAGATGAAGCTATCAGAGAAGCTTGGGTAGTCCTCAAGAATGAAATATCAGAACACATACTGTTCGAAAATTTGCCATCCCTTATATATGAATTGTTATACTGCTTTAATTGATGTTTGGATAGAAAAAAATTATTGTCATATTTCAAAAACCAGGAAAAACCATTCAGTACCGTGAGAACCAGGAAATGAATAATCATTGTATCAATGATTTTTCGGTATTCATTAAAAATTGTTTTCTGGTTATGGTGATGATCGAAAACAGAGATCAGAAACACCTACGCTGAACAGGAAAAATTTCATAAAAAATAGGGGTTTTTAGATTCAGGATTACTGTAGACACTCTAATAGAAGGTTATCCTATACTTGCACTGTGAGCTTAATTATTTTGGTTCCTATAAGAGATATCGAAAATCTATCAACTAATAAAATAATGGTGATGTTATGACAGGAATTTTATCAGTTGACAAATTTTCGATATCTCTAATAGGAACCGAGATAATTGAGCTTAAACTTTGAGGAAAGGAGGGGGAAATACGGTATTTACGAACTACACTCATCTACTATTGTGTAGTCATTTAATGTTAAGTCTTTGGCTACAAAAACATTCATTTCCGATCCACGAAAATAAGGTGACACATTTCATCATACATGAATTTGACACGTGAAGCTTCACGTGAAAACTAATACGAGCCTAGGAAAAGAGAAAGAGCAGGGTGCAATTTTATTAGTGTGCAAAACCAAGATTAGAATTTCAACGAAAAGCGGCTTGTTTTACACTATGACCTGAAAATTCTTGCGAATAAAATTTCAAATTCCAAAGAATCAAACAAACAACGAAAAATAACGGAAAACCAGTTTTAACACTAGTTAGCAAGTCATTTCCTGCGCGCGTTCCATGGAAGTTTGTCACGTTTTAATTCGGTTTTTCATTGAAATGGTTAGATCTCAAAGAAAGAAGATATTTAACATTTATGACCAAAATAGATACAGATAAAATAAGAAGAAGTCAAAGATCTGTATAACTGTATTGCACAAGTTATTAGTTAATACATTAATAAATTAAGTTTAAAATACTAAATAAATAAATATTAGAGCCAGAATTATAACATTGTGGATTGTATATTGTCAAGTTTTGTGGAGCTTCGGAAGCAGCATACATGCATGATGAAAACCAGTGAAACGATGAAAAGGAATGCGTTGAGGAAGACGAGTACGGTAGTTCCCATTGCGGTCATACACAGCTCACTCTGAAAAAGTATAGACTTGAATTTTGAGCTCAATTTCTTGGTTTCTTCGACAGGTATCAAAAAATTTTCAACTAATTATTTATCATCTTATCACCAACAGTTCGTTCGCAATTTTTTGATCTTTCATAGATTTAGAGATAATTGGACTGTAATTGGCAGTGTCTGGGTCCCTTCTATCACAAGTTTTGAGTGTATGTTTTTAGCGCACGTCTTTTACTGTTAAGCTAAATTTCAGGTTATTCCGTTCTTTTCGGTTTTGTTTTGATATTCTAGGTTTTCTTCCCTTTCTCCGTTTAATGAAAGGCAGCTTTTTACTGCTACTTTGAGCTCAATTATTCGAATTCAAATAAGAGATAACAAAAATCTATTAACTGATAGATTATTCATCATACTGTCAGCAATATTTTATTAGTTGACACATTTTTTATATCTCTTCTAGAAGCCAAGATATTTAGGCTCCAATTACAAGTATAGGGTTAGCTTTTATTAAAAAAAATAAGGAAATGATAAACCACTTACGATTCTCATATCAAAATTTCTCTGAATCCAATTTAACGAGATAATGTCATCGTTCGGGATGATGTAGTCGCTCACGATCTCGGTATCTAAAAAAATTTTGTCCTATGTTATCTACAGTAACCCTTGAAATACCTTCATAATCAATTTGAGCTGTCATTGTTGTGTTCTCTGCTGCTATATTGCTGGATCTTCGCCTTCTAGGTGGATCCGGACAGGATGGTACCTGAACTTTTTATTTATTTTTTGGTTTTTCGATCTCTTAAATTTACATCACAATAGTCAAGGCCCGGTTCTTTGACTGTTATTGATATTTGACAATCGAAATACATGTTGTCACGGTCGGCGTATTTGTACACGTGGGCTTCGCGTCCTGCCATCAGGTCGGTGGGATATTCAAGATTGGTCAGGAGATACTTGTCAAGGGCACATCTGGAAATTAACTGTTTTGAGCTAAAGTAACCCAGAAAAAACCAACCCCTTCTCATTCAAAAGCTGAACCCGCTGACCATTCCCATCATCAACGAAACAAGAGTGTACAAGCATACAAAACGTGTTTTCGTGCTCCGTATCGCATGTCCATTTGTGATAAACCTAGAAAAAGAGTCTTGTCATGTTTTGCGACTTTTCGATCTTTGATTTTTGTGTTCCCTGAGCTTCCCACATGAGCAATAAACTGACCATCTGACCGACAGTTGCAAAATAAACAGGTGGGCCAGTTGGCGATCCATCCAACACCTCATATTTGCAGACGGGCATGTTAAGCTGCTTGGAGTGCATAGTCGGTGGAGGCATACTGAAAACATTTATCGAAATTTGATAGTGATATATGAAAATTTGATCTGGACTAATGTAAAAAAATGACACCTAATATAAGTGAAAAAAATGGCACATACGAAATCTGAATCTCCTTTTGGATACGTCTCTCCATCTCCATGTAGAAACACTGCACCTTGAACACGCGATCGTTTTTGGTGAGGAATTCCGGATTGAATGCCACCACGACATTTGTGTAAAGGAACAAACCGCGTGGAGATGTCTGAAATGTTTGTTGTTGTGGTTTCTAAAGGCCTTCCAGAAAACCCTAATTCGAATATTGTTTTTTTTGACATTTAAAAATGTATTTTTTTTCTAAATATATTTTTTGGAAGCCAGAAAAAGTGTTATAAAATCATTCCTTCATAGTTTCGTTGCACGGAAAAAAATTTGAATGCGGATATCTCGTTTAATTTTTTTCAAAAGCGTAAAAGTGAGCTGCCATGTTTTTTGTCTTGCTTCAAATCCTATATTCTTGTTTCTTTTTCAATTTTTTCAACAAATTAATTTTACCGTTTGTTCGATGTGAATCGGAAAACATTAATTCAAATTATGAAAATCATTAAAAGTATAACAAAAATTTGGCAAACATTTGAATTAAGGTAAATAGAACATTGTATTTCCTTTGATAGAAGCCCTCCACTTCGGACTCAACTATCTCGAAACTGCTGAAAGATACTAAAAAGATTGAAACTGATGAAATGTAGGTGATACTATGATGAAAAATTTATCAGTTGACAAAGTTTTGATATCTTTAACAAGAATCGAGATAATTAAGATAAAAGTTACCGGTTCGGGCAAGCTACAGAAATATGGTAGCGAACAGCTATGTTCTTCGAGTCTATTTCAAATATCACTTTGTCTTTATCAATTTTTTGTCGATTTTCACCCTTTTTGTGATGTAAATCGGAAAAAAAGGGTTAAAATGGTGAAAATAATTAGAAGAAATACGACAATCGTCAAAATTTGCAAGAATAGGCAACATATATTCATAGTTTCAAAAAATATGGTAGTTTGCTTTTCCGACTTCAAGAAAAGTTTAAAGAGTTATCCTCTCTTAACTGTTTTTTCCTCACCCAACGATAATAACCATTTAGATCAGTTATGAGTCCCAACCGGTGTTATCAATTCCGGTACTAGTGATCATGATCAAAAAGTTGTCCCAATATCAGTTTTTTTCATATTCCTTTCCGTTTTTCATTCTACTATTCCCCTCTCTTCACTCAATGAAAGTGATATGTGCTGATAAATAATCTGAGCCATTCGTTTGCTCAGACAAATGACCGGTTCTTTATTGTCGCCGGGGAGGGCCGCCGTGCGCAGAACCGTTCGTGAGCCGGCTCTTCTCACCGATTATATAAGGCGGCCGCTTTTTGATATGCCATCATCAATATCGCCTTTTCATTTTTCTTTCGTAGCCAAAAAATCCTTTCTAGCCACCGGTATTTCAGATGCGTCGTTCTGTATTGGTCCTTTCAACTTGTGCTCTCCTAGCCCTCGGACAAGACTGGGGAGGTGGTGGTGGTTACGGTAAGTATAATTGAAAGACATGAAATTAAACTTCTTTATTCCAGGAGGCGGTGGTGATATGGGAGGATACGGTGGCGGAGGATACGGTGGAGGTGGAGATATGGGAGGTGGATACGGCGGTGGTGGCGACATGGGTGGAGGATATGGAGGTGGTGGTGATATGGGAGGAGGATACGGTAAGTGGTTTTATTCCATAACTTTCAAAGATTTCCGTTTTTCAGGAGGCGGTGGTGATGGCGGATACGGAGGATACGGAGGTGGCGGATATGGAGCTGGTGGTGATATGGGAGGAGGTTACGGTATGGGTGGCGGCGGTGGAGACGGTGGATACGGAGGTGGCGGTTACGGAGGAAACATGGGAGGAGGAAATATGGGAGGCGGTGGTGGATACGGATCCTACCAAGGTGGACCACAACCGGGAGGTGGACAAGGAGGATATGGAGGACAACCTTACGGAGGTGGTGGACAAGGAGGATGGCCACCAATGCCAAACTAATTTTATTTATCTCTTATTTAATATTTATCCGCTGTATCTTATATATGCACACACGACACCTTTTTTGTATCTTCTCCCTGTCGTAAGTGACTCATAATAAATAAAATATTCAATTGTCAAAAATTTTTCTATGCTAATTATCCCACATATAGATTCCATTCGGATCAGATAACCCAGTGTTCAGACAAGAAGAACCGGAAATGAACACACAGATGCATACACACATCAACAAACACTTACCGAATGTCTTTTCTCAATTGCGCACTGATCGAAAGTCAGCCGAAGACTGCTGTTCTTTGCGGATTCGTCTTTTCTGGCGAACGTTCGGCAGTCCGGATTGTCAAGGTGGTTTTGAACGAACGCGATGCCGTGGAATGTGGTACGAGTGTCGAATTTGACCTGAAAAATTATTTTTAGTGACTTGAAAATAAGTAAAACTTTGGAAAATCCTATTTAAGTTTTTGAAGTAGTTTCAAATCAACCCTGGAATTTCTTTCAGAAAACCGCAGCAAATACCTATTTCCTCTAATAGAATCCAACCTTAACCGTCCACTTCGAACTCATATATTCCTTTGAAAAATATCAAATATTTGTCAACTGATAAAATACTGGAGATATTATAATAAAGAATGTTTGATTTGCATTTTTGGTTATCTTCTACAAATATCCAGAAAAAAATGAAAGAAAATAAAGACAAACAATTCAGAGGGTACAACAATTTTAGGGTCATTAGAGTTCGAATCATTTTAGTGATACAAATCGGGGGTACAAAATACTTGAAAAATTCGAATTTTGCACCCCCGAGTTGTGGGTTTTGTGTTTTGTAATCATTTTTAGCCCCTTTCTACACCAGAATTGTTGTATTCTCCAAATTATGGGCCAAAAGAATGTAATAAAAAATCTTACCTCAAAAAAGTCATCACCACATTCTACAGATGGATCGCCAATAATCGCATTGTCTATTTCACCCTGGGCGGTTTGCTGAAAATCACAAAATTAGAAAAACCCCTCACGTTTGAAACTCTGAAAATGTTTTTTTTTTCAGAATTTTAAAATTTCAGAATTTTCGCGAACAAAAAACTTTCCAGAAGTTTTTTAGAATAAAAAAAGACTTCAAAAACTCACCAAAACAATAATTGCAAATACCGCAAGCACGAAATTCATGAACAAATTCTGAAAATCAATCAACTGACCAAAAGAAAAAGATAATGAAAATGAATTCAAAAGAAATACATGAACATGAAGACATAGTAGAATAAACGCTGAGAAAACACCTATAAAACTGATAGATTAGCTTCGGTTGAGGCCACTTTCTAATACGACCGCCTTCTCTATTAATTCCCAGATTTGTGTTGGCCTTTTGATGAGGACAAATTTGACAAAAGCTCTTGAAAATAAGAGAAAAAAGAAGGAGACACGTTGAGACAAAACGAAAGCTAGTCGGATGGAATAGGCGGTGAGTGAACAAGGCTTATTATTCCCGAAATATGCATAGATATGCATCAGACCATTCAATTGTATTATTCCCTCGATTTCCACTTGTCCCCTACCATTCGCAATCGCCATTCAATCTTCTGAGAAAGTCCCTCAAAACTGTCCCCTCCCCGAGGATTCGTTGGCCAACGGAAATGAGGAAATTGATATGAAATGGAAAAATGGCACTGATACTGTTGATAGGAACTAAATTCTGAAAATGTGAAGTACCTAGTGGATAGTTTCAGACAATAGAAGAAAAAATAGCAAATAATTTGGTGTTACAAACAGAATCTGAACGATCAGATTGAAAATCAAACAATACCGTAAAATCTGTATTAGCAGAGCCTCTTAATTCTTAACTTTCAGACAATTTCCCGGTACCTGTCAAAGTTATAAAAATATTGGAGTATCACCAAAAAACTGATAAAATGTGTATCGTACTCCCTAAAAATTAAATGTATTCACATCTTCGAATTGTCCATTTTTTCGTTTTTCAAACATTCAAGTATTCAATTCATCAAATTCTCAGATTTACCAGATTCTCGATTTGCAGGTTTCAGATTTTTAGATTTTGAAATTTTCAGATCGGATTTCACCTTATTCAATCTTCAGATTCTAACTTTTTTAAGTTTGAAAAATTTCGATTTTTCAGATTTTCAAATGTTAGAAGTTTATTGGGATTTGTATAAAGTTCAAAATCTAAGATGTTCTATCAAAATCCGAAAATAGAAGTTTTCAGATTTTCAGAGTTCGAGTTTCAAAATTTTCGGATTTTCGGCTTCCCCGATTTTGCGATTTTTAAGCATTATTGTATTTCATCAGACTTGGAGTATCACCAATTCAAGTAGTTCTCAATCCGAAGCTGCTGAGCACTATCTTGTCTAAAACTATCATAGTAGCATCAAAGCCAAATTTCCCTATTTCTGCAAACCCTGATTTCGAAACGGTACGTCACCCTCTCCCCCCATTGCTCATCGACCCATTCTATCTGATCATTGACCATTCGAAATTTTCGTGTGACTCATAACGTTTTTCGATTGTCTCTCACTCGATCATTCTAGAATTGATATTCGAAAAATATGCATCTCCCATTCCCTTTCGCCGCACAATCACATTTTTTTGTTTCACTCGATTTCTTGAATTCCCATTATTCCTCTGATAGCGCCTTCGCCCACACAGACATGTTTGATCACGAGATTCTCTAAAATTCTTTGAAAACCTTCGATTTCAGAATTTTATACAATTTTTTCAGATCATTAGTCCTGTAAGCTGAAACCTAAGAATGTCATGAAAAATTACACTTTCCCTTCTCGAATCAGTTTTTCTCAATTTAAAAAGCATTCAGTTTCCCAAATAGTTGAAAATTTGTGGTTTTAGATCATTTGAGTTTCTGACTGTTGATTTGCGATACCATAGTTTAATCCGATCAACTTTTTTCAAAAATTTCGAAATTATGAAAAATTTCCCTAATATAATCGGACAGCTGAAAAAGCTGGAATAAAACTTAAAGATTACTGTACTTCTCGATTTTCTATTTACTTTTTCCAGTAACAAAATGATTTCCGTTATGTTGAGCTGCTAAAAAACTATTGAAGATTGAAAAATTTTAGGTTACGTAGCTTTTTGATAAGTATTAGAGAAACTATTAATTTAGAAAACCGTTTGAGGGTTTCTGTAGATCCAGTGACTCATCCCAATTTTCTAGAAACAATGCATTACGGTAACAGTTCCCATTGCTTCTACACTGTTCTTATTTTTTTATTTTTTACTGGGAATAATATTCAAATTTTTGAATTTACTTTTTTCATCTCGTCGCACAATCCCATCTTTACCGTTTCTCATAAATTTTCGGTTTCCCATCTTTTCGTCAAAAAAGACTATATGGTAAGATTTCGGTTTTGTTTCATCTCATCGTTCGGTCTCCCACCCTAGAAGAAGCCCACACAGTCTTTATTCCATTTGCATACAACGAGCCATAAAATTTTTATAGCGGTACTGTTCCCAAAGTTCTTACAAATGTGACTATTTGTAAATCAATTGCTAGACTAAACAGACGGCTGTCAGCCATACGTCTACCGTGGTAATTTTCTAATTGAATGATATATATTTTAGTGAGCGAAAAAAATATTGAGACAGAATTGAGCTGTCGCTCTCCCGTCATGTCCATATTCTCTCTTGATTTTTTTCCCTAAAAACTAGTACAAATTGCAGAAGTTGTCAAGAAATGGATAATCCTTTTCCACCACTGAACCGCGAAGTACCGTTGCCTCCACTGGTCGAGGATCCAATCAGTGCTGAGGATGTCGAAGCATTCAAAAATGGCAATCATAAAACGCGGCAAGTAGAAATCTCTACGTTTAATCTATAATATTTAAATGCATTTTTAGTGCTCTCATCCTTGCCCAACATTTGAATGCTCGGGTCTCCAGATCAATATTTGTCAATGTTCCATGGGAAGTTGCTCGTTACGGTGCGGAGCCATTGCCTTGTTTGGCTAACTGGATCCATGATTTTCTGATTCAAAACAAAGGTCACCCAGTTCCAGAAACTGATCGCCAAATCCTCGAAATGTATGTTGAAAGGAGAAGAATTTAAAAAAAATTACTTTCAGTGGCCAAGCTCTCAGTAACCACATCAACGACCGTATCATTGCATGCCGTATCCATCGTATGAACGACCAAGCCAAGTATGAAAAGGAGCCAAATGCGTCATTCGCCGATGTCATCTTCAAATTCTCGCTTCTCACCACTTACGAGCGTTACCATCCACCAGTGATCGGATGCAGCATCTCTCATTTGCGCCCATTCCTTGTCATAAACTTCGCAAATCTACCTTCTGAGGAACTGAAAGAATCTGGAGATGTGAGCAAGGAAATGGGAGCTGGAGATGGGCGAAATAGCGAGGAAGATGGACCAGGGGATGGAAAAGAAATCCAAAACGGAGGAGCGGAAAATGGTCAACAAGAGCCACAAGAGAAGGTAAAGAAGATCGGTGAAGAAGAGAAGCTACAGGTTGGAGCCGAAAATGTTGGTCTTGGAAATGAAAACTTGGAGAAACACATAGAAGAGATCGGCGAGCAACTGAAGGAAACTGATTTGAAGGATCAATCTGATGAAGCTGAAAAGGAGCAAATGGAACAAGAAGCTGGTTCTGGGAAAGAGGAAGAACAAAATCATGGGAAATAAATCTTCACAATTCATCATTTCTTGGAGAATGAGTAATTTTTCTAAATAATGTGTTTTTCGTTTCCGTTTTCCCACGCCTTTCCCGTTTTCTCATGTTTTCATATTTTTCTTTTTTTGTCATTTCGGTTCTTAGTAGGCAAACATGGAATACCTACCTTTCTCATTTCTTTTAACTATCTTTCCCATTCCCCCACTTCAAGTCAATTTATCTCGGTCACTCTAGCATATACCAAAAATTGGTCAACTAACAAATTGCTCCCCATTTTTTGACACAAATTTTGTTAGTTGACCATTTTTTGAAATCTTGTTCGCGAAACAAGATAAATTGAGTCAAAATTGAGAGTGTGGTGCTCATTCTATAGCGTGGATTACGGTAGTATCTTTCTGATATGAACTAGCTGAACTTTTGCATAAAGCAAAGTTTCTGAAATTCACGTCATTTCTATTCTCCCTTAATTTCTTCCTATACTTGTCTTAATTTTTTTTCAATGTTTGCCTTCTGGCCAGTAATTATATTATTCTCATATTCCCTCCTCTCTCCTTCGTCGCATTTTTTTTTGGTTCCGAAAAATGTTCTGGTTAATTTGAATGTGTATTCCGTGTGCCTTTAATTCATATTGTTCCGTGACACATTTATGTGACTGGCTATTTTGTAATTCTGACCTTTTGCAGTTTTCCATTTTTCTGAATTTGTAAACTTCAATACATTGACTTACAGTGAGATGTTCCAAACGGGACTCATAGTTGAAAATTAAAAACTTGGAAATCGAAAAATGCTAAAGATTCCGAGATTCCAAAGTTTCGAAATTGGAAAATTACGAAATTTAGAAAAAAAAGCAAAAATTGTGAAAATCGGAAATTTCGATTTCCCGAAACATTTCCGAAAGGCCATTTTGAGCATCTTTGGTTTTGATTTATAGGGTATAAGACAATCACATTTGAAAAATGACACATCTCTGCGCTCTGCAGTTTCAAATAATTAGTTTTCAGTCTTCTCAGATTTCTAGTTCCTCTTCCATACTAGGTTTCAAAGTTCTACTCCTTGAAACTAAACATCATCGCAACTAGTTACAGTTTTTTCCCGGTCGTCAAGAAAATGTGATGTTCAAGGAACATTTTTCAGTTCCAAGATGATTGTTATCTATATTGGGAGAAATGTTAACAATTCTGTGAATTTCCCGCGTTTCTGAACTTCGGTTTTTCTTCAGTGAATAATAGTTTTCAATAAAATTCCTGAAAGTACGTCACTAATTATTTCATTTTCATAATTACGTTCTCTACTCCTTTTTCATAAAAAAATAAAAATAAACTCCCCCATAACAAAACTTCCTCATCATTTTTCAAAATATTATTTTTCATCATTGCCACTATAATTATAGTTTCGCACTTTGAAGTGCGCGCGCGAGGTGTATAGATACAACTAATTGAGCTTCTATGGAGCAGTGAAGACGTCAAACCGCGCTTCTGGCTCCTTCTTCAAAACTATAGTTTTTTTGCGTCATTAGAAGTTTTTGTCTATTTCTGGAGACCGACATAAGAAGTCATAAGACGTCGTCATACTAGTCTTTTTCTGTACATTTTCCTGAAAAAATCTTGATAACGTCATCATGTGATCGTTGTGATTTCAGGGTAGTATAAAATTGTGACTTCGATTTTGAAGAAAGATAAGTTAGTCTCCCACAATTACCCTCACAAGGCCCTCAACCGCAACATATTGTGAATCCATATTGGGATGTTAAGAATTTTAGAATTCGCTCGCCAGTTTCAGCCGAGCTTTATCAGTTTCAGTACCAAAAATTGCATTTTGTGCGAAAATAGATTTTTAATTATGATTAGGAACTTTTTTTGGGAAAAGAGATTTTTGAAGTGAGGTCATCACCTGTTTTTGACGTTTTTATAATAAAAAACATAATGTTTCTTTGAAATTTAAAAATTTGAAAAATGTTCAAAAATTCTGAAATTCTGAATATTTCATAGCTAGAGTATTCCGAAAATCCAAAAAAAATTTCGAATTCTCAAAATCGGAATACTCTAAAATTCGAAAATTTGGAAAATCGGAATACTCTAAAATCCGGAAATTTGGAAAATTAGAATTTTCGACTTCACGAAAAATTTGGGAAAGGCGATTTCGAACATTTCTGATACTAACAATTGCACGACATCTCCTGATTAGGGATAAAACTGAGAGTTTAGTAAAACATTTCAGACATTTTATCAAGTTTTTTTCTCGATATTTTCCACCACTTGAATTTTTCCAAAAACTGGAAAAGTGTGCTTTTTGAAACAATGCCTGAAATATGTAAATTAATTGAATTCTTAGTATTACACAACACATTTCTTCTTCTGAAACGTCATAGAAGTGAAAAAAAATCTTGTTTGAGAATCTCTGTTTTTGAACTGAAATCGGTGCTGAAACTCGTATAACTCGGTTGAAACTTAGGATCAAATTCCAATATTTTCAGAAATGTCTAGATAGACTATTCTCAATCTATCCTGAATTTTCATCAAAAAATGAAATCAAAAAGTTTTGTGGTTCACTTGTCAAATGAATTTTTATTAATTTGTAATGTAATCCTTATAATCTCTTCTTTTATTTCTAGAAAAACCTTTTCTTCAGAAATCAAAGACTAAAAAAACTCTAACATCGTTTGTTGGATATATGATTATCCCCCTCAAACTAATTAGTGTGCCCTTAATAAGATTTCTATTTAGCTAGACTTTCTCTTTTGATCATAGGATTTGCACGTTTTAGATGTCTTCTTCAACATCAAAAATTTCAACATTGAAATCATCACAAATTTTAGGAAATCCCATTGGAAAACACATTATATTTCAGTGCCGAGCACTAACCAACACCTTATCTCTTTGCTCCTTTTTATCTTCTCTCTCCTTTCATTTATTTCCAAGTATTTTCCTATTTCCACCACAAATTCGTATATTCAATTCATCAATCAAGTTTTCATCTCAAATATTAAAAAAAAGAGATTTATGCTTGCGCTTCTGAAATTTCCGATTTCGGCATCTTGTGACTTCGAGCGCCGTGTTTCCGATTAATCATGGGTGTCAGTCACTTTGAAGAGCCCCCGAAACCAGGCCCCGAAAACACTACAATTTCCATGTCACACCAGATTTTGTCAATTCCCATCCGCTGCCCTACATTTTTCGTCTGTGGCTATTGTAGGCCCCGCCCCTTTCAATCCGGACTTTTGAGCCGAGTGCTCTCTTCCACCTTATGTATTTTATGAGGTTTTTACGAGGATACTAGCCAGGAAAAATTATTAGAGCCTTTTAGGCCAATTGCTCTGATGCATTAGATTCTTGAATCGTTAGAGATTTTTTTGACTCATCATTCTCATCATCATCACCAAAAATAAATAAATATTTTCTTGCAAAAACTTGCGCCTTTTCCCATGTCCATTTTTAATTCCATAATCTATTCCAGAAAAGCGTGTATCTCTCATCCGAAGAGTAGTCTTTGATACATATTCCCACTATGAGAAGACGTGTTATTTTTTGTTGGTTTCTCACACATGTATATAGACACCTAATAATAGCGAGCGTCAAGTGCATCTGAAGAAAGTACATGCTCATTTTCCTCCGCTCTCTCTCTCTTTAATCGCTAGTCGTCTGTTGTACTTTGCCAGGCGACATATACATATTTTGTTTGGCATTTACATATTTATGCACTTTCAGAAAGAAATTGTTGAATCATTTGTTTTCTGGAAAAGACAAAAAACCAATTGTGTTTTTCATCCACTCCCTTGGCACTCCCTAGTGTATGTGTCTTCTGCCCTTGCCGTTGTAAATGAATTTTGTTCTTTCGATTAGTGTAAAGCGACTAGGAATTTCCTATCCATTCTTCCTGGTTCTTTACCAATGAGTCTCCTTTCGATTTTTGTACTTCAAACTATTTTTCAAAATAGAAATATTTCATTTTTATCATTATCCAGACAGATTATAACTAATATCGCCTATTTGAATAGAGGATCATTGCAGAAAAGAAAGATGAGCCGCCTGTTTTTCTTCTTTTTTTTTCAAAAAAAATGGAGTTGGACTCAGTTACTTGAATTGATATTTTTCATCTTCATTCACTTCATCCATCTTCTCTTTTTTGAATATTTGATCGTTTTGCTTTTTTTTGTATACTGTATTTCTACCGTAAACACTAATAGAATGACCCTCATGACTTCAAACTTTGAGCCAATTTATCTCGATCCCTATGCAAGGTATCGAAAACGTGTCAACTAATATAATGTTTGTGATATTAAAATAAACATTTTATTAGTTGACAACTTTCCAATATTTGTAACAGGAACCAAGATAATTTGTCTCAAAGTACGCTGCTCGGTTGGGATCATATTAGAGGATCAAAGGAGGGGGGACTGGTTGGCACTTCATTAGGGGGATTACTGTAGTTTTGAAATAGAAAACGGCTGAATTGATGAATATCTTGCTGTATGTAGACTATGACTATGGCTATGGAAAATACAAGAGTTATGGAGTACTATCGTTTTTCAAAGGGGTCTGTAGTTTTCAAGGAGGGGAGGAAAGAAATGTTTCAGTTTTTTTGGGTTACAGTATACATTTTGACGTGATGGTGTACAGTGATTGGTGTTAGTGTGCAGTGATTGGTGCAACGCGTTTCTTTTGTGGTGCTTTTGGGAATCTCATCTTTTGGCAACCTCAACTAACGCTACCGTAGTCCATTCCTTGAGGGGCGCATATGAAGGCAAATAAATTCGAGGGTACAAAAATTTTGAGGTTATAGGAATGCGATTTAATAGTACAAAATTCTGAATTTGGGATTACAAAATATTAGAAAAAATCTATTTTTTTTTCACCCCTGAGTTGTGGATTTTGTACCCCTAAATCACTTTTTCCTTGTACCACCGAATAGTTGTACCCTCCAAATTGTGTGTCCTATATGAACGGGATTTCGACAAAATTGTCTTCTTCGCGTCTGCAAAATGACTGGGATTACAACGGTTAGGATTTGAGTAGTTTGGGTCATTGTTTTTCTCCTCGGATTACGGTAAACGAGCACTTTTAAAAATTCGCATCAGCTATCGAAACAACGTTTTTAAGTTTTCAATTAGACAAAACCCAAAATTTGATAATATTAGAATTTGGTGATTCAAAAACATTTCTAATAAATGGTATCATTTTCTGATTACGAATTTCGTTAAAATTGGTGACGTCGTTGTTAAAATCTATTGAATAAACTATTTTGAAAAGCTACAGTAATCTCAGAGCATGATTCAGTGTCAAACGATATTTCTCCTTTCCCTTCTTCAATTGGTGAAATCAGAGATTTCAATTAGTATCACAATTTGGAATTTCTAAAGAATTGCATAATTTGCGTATCATTGTCTTTTGGGAACAGTTTTCCTCATTATCACACGCCTGCTGAAATTAACTGGTTTGATGATCTACAGTAATCTTATGACAAACTACATGGCTGAATGAAAACCTGACATTTTGCTTCTGAATAATTCCTCCTCCGATCTCAATCTCACCCCTAAATTTCCCTCCATCCGATTAAGATGAATTTCGGGCTCGTGACCGTGAATGGCTCCTCCTTCTGTCGAAAGCCATTATTTTCCTCCCTCCTTCTTATTCCAAATGTCGTCTTTCGCTGTTGCTCGTGTCTTCCTCCACCGAGCCGTCTGGGCGAGAGTGCACCTATGGTGATTCGGTCCTTTTCTGCGTCTCGTGATCTCTCATCAACGACACCCCGTGTTTGAGTTTGCACGGACACACTCAACTACCGAACACCTACCCGCTCGTCTCGTCTCTCTCACCCCACATTGCTTATTGGCGCCGTCTATCTCTATTTGAATTTTTTGGAGACTGAGAGAGAGTGTCCAGAGAAAGAGAGAAGCGCAATCGCCCCATTCCACCCTACCAGTTGTTTAAAAAGCGGTTGATAACTTTGTATCAGGTTTTTGAACGGCTTTTGGTCTTTTCCCCTAAGACTCGACCGTATTCTATGTATTATTTTACTCTACGCGGATATTACAAACAGTTTTTCAAGATGGCCAATAAAAAAAATCAAAGAAATCCAAAAAAGGAAAATCGAGGTAAGGAAAACGGGGAAAGGGGGAATCAAAACTGGGGGCGTCGTCGTATGAACATAGTTTCTCAAGTAGGAGAAAAACACTAACCGAAATTCCCAAAAATATATCTTCTTGGGATCTGTAATAGTTTTCTGCCACATTATCTTGTTTCGATGCAAATAGGCTCCTGATCTTCCACTTCTACCAACCCATCCATCAGCACATCTCCTTCATTTCTCTTTCCTTTGTGGAGTTTTTTACGAAATTCATTTGCATATCTTTCCTCGATCTGGCTCTTCGTCATCCATCCGCCGCTTTATCTCTGTGTTCCTGTCTCTCTGTACAGTTATGCTTTGTGACACGCGTTGCGTGTTGCGTCGCGGTTGGTGCCGTCTGGTGACTCTGCCAACACATCTTCGGCAGAATGGGATGGGTGATCATGATTGCTCATAGGTGCCTCCAAGGCGAAAACTTTAGAGGGTCAACACGAAAGGCGCATTTTAATTCGTTGGGGGATAGAAAGGGGATTGAATAATGAGTTGGGGTGATAAAGGGTTGAACTCGGGCGGTGAATATCAAAAGGGCATAATGGAATTAGGGACAATGATGATAAAATATGGGAATCTAATGAGCTGTCGGCTTGAAATTCATGGTCAGAAAATTGAGGGATTTGGCTTTTGGACGGATATTGGCCTGGTCTTGATAGGAATTTGCCCACAAACGCGGGACATGGTCTGATTTTGGCCAGAATTTCAGTTTTTCGTTACCATAAGGTCGGAGTCGTGTCAGTAGTTGTCTTAACCAGAATCTGACAAGTTTTTTAGTTGCATGGCAGCACTGTAGTATGAAAATGGGTGGACTCTGTAAATGGCGATTTCGGGATTTCAAAGCATTTTTCAAGATTTTCTCGGGTGCAGATCACATTGTTCATACGCTGGCCATTTACTGGACATCATTAGCTAAACATCCAGCATTTGTTTTTTAGAATGTGGTTACAGAAGCTGACTGTATGAATTTAGGACCTAGGGGACAGCTGTCCACGGGATTAAGCCACGAATTTCAACAAGTTGCTCTAGAAGCTCGACAAACCTTCGAAATTATTTTAGTATATTATCAGGACGTATCTGATAGTGAGCATACTGTAGCGTGGAAGACATTGATTTAATCTCAATTGAAACTTTTTTGGACTTTCTTAGAATACCGTAAACACTCCGTTCACCATCTTTTGCACTTTGAGCTTAATTATTTCAATTTCTGAAGAAGAAAGTAAAAATCTGTCAACTACCAAAATGTTTGTCAAATTAGCACCAATATTTTATTAGTGTACTTATTTCTGATATCTTTTATAAAATCTGAGATAATTGAGCTCAAAGCGCAAGTATAAGGTTGCCTTCTACACTGCTGGACATAATTATAAGTTCACTTTGAATTTCGAGTTTTCTCGAAAACTGTGAATATAAACTGAACAGCATATGAACGCAATAAATACTATTTTGAAGTGGAAAAGTGGCAAATAAAATATGCAAAAAGATTCATTTTGATAGGTCCACTTCAAGTAAAAAAAACCAGTCAAAAATCTACGTTTCTAACCTCAGAAGGTACTTCATATCTCTTCGGAATGATTGTTTCGAAAAGAGACGTCAACTACAAAAACATAAACTCGGACTTTATCAATGTGTTCAGAAACTTTAAAATAGGTGGGACTGTTTCTAAACAAAAATTGAGAGCTCGGAAATAGGTCATGTTTTACAAAAAAATTGCAGTTTCCCAAGGTGCATTGTTTGTCTATACCGGAATGCTTAAACAATCTCGCTAGTTTATATGTCAATTCGAGAACCAGCAGGTGTGATTACAGTAAAAAAATCTAGATTACGTGTCTCCTTTTTTACAAAACAACTCCTTAAACATGCCTACCCATAAGCCAATTTTAAGCTTGGAATTTATGTGGTCCGACACTTTGCGTGATTCCATGAACACAAATACAGATTTTCATGATTTTATGTATGTTTCTGAATAAACACGAGTGTATTTTTCTTCTAATTAGCTCAGTAAAGTTTCTACTGAGCAAGGTACAGTATCACTCGGAACATAGCGATAAAAATGAGCTGAAATGCGGGTTTTTTCTCCGGTTGGTGAAAAAATCACAATGTTTTCAACAGTTAAATGAGGAATGCATTTAAGAATAATACTAAAAAACTCAAAAAATTAGAGTCCTCGTAATTTTCAGAACATTTATTAACGAAAAACTTCATTTTCAGTATAAGCTGGCCAAAAACGGATGAGGCATAATTATGAGTATAGATACAACCAAGTTTCTTATGCTACTAGGACTAAATGAAGTTATATTTGTTATAATTTGTAGTTTCCTCACTGTGCAAAACCTATATTCCGAGTTATGCTCGATCGTTTCAAGTGAACTTATAATTATGTCCCTATTTTTCGGGTCACTTTTCCGATTTTTTTGAAATTTCCAAAATCAAGAAACGATAGTGGTATCGAATGGTATTAATTAATTGACATTTCAAAATAGTATTTATTGCGTTCATATGATGTTCAGTTTATATTCACAGTTTTCGAGAAACTCGAAAAAAAGAAAGTGAACTTATAATTATGTCCAGCAGTGTATAAAAGTATTTATAATCTCTGTATCCTTCCTCGTTAAGTATTTCCCCTCATCCCGTTGCTAAAAGTTCTCCATCCTCTTTCAGTTTCTCTTTTTTCCCAAAAATTCAAAAATTTCAATCTTGGCTACTCATTTTCTTGCAAAACCCGCCATGAGAAAAAACTAGCCCTACCGAGCTCATTTCTTCATTTTTAGAGTTCCTGAGGAAATTGACTTTTTGAGAAGTCATTTTTTTGGGGGTTCGGTTTCTTTCTCTTCATTGTTCATTTATTTTCTAGAGAGGCTGCTCATGAGGATTGAAATTTCATCTCAATTTTAAGTTATAATTTTCCGTCTTACAGTTTATCGAATTAAAAAAATTGGTTTTCTCATTTAAGAATCTGACAACTGAAATCGAACTTGGAAAAAAATGGCGAATCCACCTGGAAGAACGCAGAACCCTCATGTCTATTCCCCAATAGGTATAACGTATCCGTGAAAAATGAGTCTTATGAAAATATTCTAGAGCTTGGAATCAAGTTGTTTGCTTCTCGATGTTGTGTACTTTTCGATTCTTATATCCCATTACTCAGAGGAGATGAGAAAGAACTCGTCAAAGCTTTGTATACTTTGGAAGGTTCCTATGAGGAAATTGTCGACATGGAGAAAAAGCTGATCGAAAAGTAATTAAAGTCACTAGCTTCCATTGTAAATTTGCAAGTTTTAAGACATCTTGGTCGAGGAATCCGTGAGCATGGGGTTAGCAAAGAACCAGTTATGTCATCTGAACCAATTGATGGGTATGGGATTTGGAAGGTCGCGGGCCATATTGTCTACTTGCCCAAGGGGTATAAAATTGTCAAGGATGACGATGGTGAAGATGAAAAGTAGCTATATTACAAAACCTAGATTATTTTGAACAAACTTTCTTTCAGGAAGAATCCTCCACCAGAGCAGCATGAGTCAGCATCCATTTTATCCGGAACTCCACCCGAGACTCCACCAGGAACGCCAACAGAGGAGGCTCCTGCTCAGCCACACGTTAATCCTTATCACCAGCTACTCCGAGATACGTTCGAAAACTTCAAAGATGGATTTAGGAAGAAAGCAAGAGAAGAACAAATTAGCGAGGAGTATGTGAACACATTTAACAAAGCTTTGGATGTCTATTTGGAAGAATTCTTGAAATTCAGTGAACGTTTATACATGGAAGGAGTCTCTCAAACTCCTGGTCTAAGATATGCGCCAGCATCTGTTTTCCATACAGCTATCGAAACTTTCAATGCTCTCACACGTTTGTCTCCCGAGGAGAGAGCTGCGCGTTTGGACAACACAGTTGTTCCAGTGTAAGATTTTATGACTTCTGTTGAAAATCTTTACTTTTTCTTTACAGTATAAACGACCGATTGGTAGCATACAACGAGGCAACAGCTCCAAACTTTCCGCCGAATCCGTACAATCAGTGAGTTTGCAGAAGAATTTGGTAGAAAAAAAAACTGCGCCGCTTCCGATAGCAAAGAAAGTTCAAATTTCTTCATTATTAAGCTTCATCTAAATAATTAACAAAAAAACTTCAAAACCTAGCGAGCTGAAATTTTTTAGAAATTTTCAGTTATTTTAAGATTAGCCTACCTTGGCACTTCTGAAAGTTTCAGAATCCACTGGTCCAGTTTCTGCCGAGTTTTTAAACTTTATGTACCTGAAAATGTTTTTTCAGTGCAAATACAGCGGTTTTCTCCTTGATTTTCAACTCTTAGGACGTTTCAGAACATGATTTTGCTGCATGTCTTTTTTGCAATTTTTGGAATACGTATAAAACTTCATTTAACTCTGTGTAAAAATGTAACGTTTGAAATGTCCGTGAAGTTGTGCAAATCGCCTTTAAACGTTACTCTTTTTCTCTAGATAGGCTATTTTTAATCTATCATGGAATTTTCATCAAAATCTGGGTTTTGTGAGTGTTGAGGTTTCCTTGTGAGGTGGAAAGAATTCTCACAATTTGGATAGCAAAGAAAATTCGAATTCTCAATTTGCATTTATAAAAAATTACGGTTCTCGCTTTATTCTAACGGTATGTTCCTCATCTAAAAAGCATACTTGCAACGGACCGGGTTTTTTCCCAGAATTTTCAAATCCCGGGTATTCAGTAATTTTTCGTCTTTCCGAAAAGTTGTCTGGGTTAGTTGAGATTTTCTGTCAATTGATAAGCGCGCCAAAAATTAACTAGTGTCGTAAAAAAAGTTTCGCAAAAAATTTCTGAAATTTCAATTCTTGCAATTTTCAATTCTTGAAATTTCAATCTAGAAAACCCAGGCTTTGTGCTAATCCGGCCTGATTTTACAAGTATGCCAAATGTTCCGGTATTTTCAGCATGTACGTTTGCTATGGAACAACAAGTGATCTCAGCCTTCCATGTCATGAAGTCGTCGACACAAATTTGATGTGGCAAAGTCATCAACTCTCCGAACTCAACATTTCACTTCCTCCGAATCCAAACACAGCTCCATCATACCCTAACTATCAGATGCGAATGCATGACAGTCTCATAAAAATGGGACACGAGCTAGGGATCGATCAGAACTTGATTGTACTATTCTATGAAAAACTCATTTTTGCTATTCAAACATTGGAGAGAAAAGCTAAACCAATGAACAAAATGACGAGGGATGATATTGACTTGATGGGGATCAAGCATTTGTCATTGATGGAAACTCACAGTTATGTAAAATTCGGACGACTAGCCAATCAGAACAGTCAACCAACTGGTCCCAGTACCGAATTTGCGTTGGAACAAAAACCAATTGTGCCAAGTACGGTTCAAAGCAACTTCACATCACGCAGGAGGCGGCGCACCCATCTTCCATCGACGCAGAGGTGAAACAAAGTTTTAAAAATAATAGGAATCGCAATAAATTATTCTGGATATTACGTTTCACATTTAGGCGTTTGATTTTTAGTCAACGAGTTTTTGAGATTCGTTCGAAATAAGCTTATCAAGTTCAGAAGTTGAACAGTTTTCATGGGGTTATTCAGCGAGAAGTAGATCAGCAAACAGCTGGATTTTCATGCAGAGGAAAAAAACCAGCGAATTCGCTGGGGTCGATTGTCTCAGCGAGACCAAGTAGGAAACTCCATGCGCCTCTAATTTCTAATCTCGCAAAAACTTTTTGTTGTCGTGTAGTTAAACGAGAACAAGAAATAGCCTGAAAAAATCCAACAATCGCCCCCCCCCCCAATCGCTGGTTCTCTGCATAAGGAAAAAACAGCTCTTTGATGATTCGCTTCTCACTGAATAGAATCCATTAAAATTTTCCAGCTTTCCAGAAACATTAAAAAGTTATATAATTATTGATACTATTAGAAAGCTGTGACCACAGACCTGATATCATCTCTTTAATTGCAACTCTGTATTTTTTTAATTTTCAGTAATTTGGTGCCCCCAACTGATATCCAGCCCTTCACAATGCCTGATACCAAAGACCCCGAGTGGAGTCAGCGCTTTGCGTAAGTTTATCAATTGCCAGATACATTTTGCGTAGAGAACCCCCATGAGGGGTTGAACTCATGACAGGCAGCTCAGTGGTACAGCGCCGCTACCGGCTGAACTACGGGGGCGCGAAGGGGCCTGACGACCGATGGTCTACATAAGCGATTTCATCCCCCGAACTGTCCCCCGAAAGTTTTGCTGTCTCGCCTCCTTTAAAGAAAAATTGTTTTTTTTTTCAGTGCTGACTGGGTCCGTCGCTTCGTTCAGAAGCAATATTGCGAGGAACTTGGATTGGAAAATATCTCGTTGCCATTTGCGAAGGCTATATGTTTGGCAGGAATAACCCAAAATGATTAGTGAGTTGAAACGTGGAGATATACAAATATGTAGATAAATATTGTAGCAATCAAAAAGTTCATGAATGGCTCAACAGAGCAGACAAGAAAGAAGGCGATGAATGGGATGTCGAGATCAAGTGGACAGCCAGACAGCCACCTTCTTCGGAGAACGACAAGAATTAAAATATTCAACAATAACTTTATGACCCTGAAGCAAAACTTCTAAAAACTCTAATCAGCTGATTTCTCTATTTTTCCTAACCCCACAAATACCCAAAAAAAGTCTCAAAACTCTCACCGCATTTTCTTTTATAGATGCATACCCGAACCGTCAACTTTGAGCTCAATTGTCTCCGTTCCTGGGAAAAGTATCAAAAAATTGTCACCTAAAATTTTTATCAAATATCGCCATTACCGTAAAAACTCTTTTAGATAGCCACCCCTAATTGAATGCCAGCCCTTAATATAGTGCCACCCCAGAGCACCTCCGAACAATAGAGTGTCAGCCCTTAATATAATGCCACTGCGGATTAGATGTCACTGTGGTGAAAGTTGAAGAGAAACACAAAAAACCATTTACTAGGTTTCTAGCCTTTTTCAAGTTCAAAAGAGATACTGTATTTGTCAAAAAGGTTTCAGGATAATATCAGACTCCGAAAATCTCTAAAAAGGAAGTAGAAAAATCAAGAAAACTTCTGAAGTCATTTTATGAATTTTTAGAATTGAAGATCGAGTCCTTTTGTGGTGAGCTTCAGTAGAAATTAGCTCCGAACAATAAAGTGCCAGCCTCTAATTGAATGCTACCCCCTAATACAGTGCCACCCCAGACCACCCCCGAACAATTGAGCTCAAAGTTGTCGGTTTCGAGAAGGTTCTGTCAAAGGAAGTACGGTTTTTCTATTCCATACACTTTCTCACTTCCCTTTCCAACGATTCAACCAAAACTCTAGAAAAATTACTCAGATATCTGAGGCCGTATGCAAGAAAGTGGAAAACAGACGGAAAACAGTTTTCCGGAAAACAAATTAACGGAGAATGACGATTTCGGTATGCAAGAAAATTTTCGTTTTCTGGAAAACCATTTTCCAGGCGTTTTCTTTTCCGAAATCGTTTTCCGACCTCGGAGGTGGGAAAATGGAGAGGAAAACGATTTTCCGGAACAGAAAAAAGGGTTAATATCGGCGAATTTCTCGAAATCTCGTTGTTTTTTTGAAGCAGATGTATGAAACAAAACATTTTTAGAAAAAAATTTTATTTTAGTGTCTTGAGAGCGAATTTTTCGAAATTTTTTAAATGGCTTAGTTGGCTGCATCAGTCTGAAAAAATAATATAAATTTCAAAGGAAACATATTTAAATATGTGTTTATTAGGGCAATGTAAAGTTTGATCAATTTCTCCTATAGTGAACTATAACTCATGACTTATGTAACTTTTTGAGGAGTCATTTTCCAGCTCACGGTTTTATTGTATTTCCCTTTTCACTCTGAAACTATCGTCTGCCGAGTTGAATGATGAAATATCATTTCCTACTAGCTCCAAAAATTATAAATTAACCCCTATTTTACAATTTTCACTCAATTATGATGAAGACAGGGTAAGATTTAGATAGAAAAATAGCGGAATCTTCTGAAAACGTTCCACTCAAAAGAAATTTCACCAATAATCATAATTGCCACTTTTATCAGTCTTCCGAACATTGTATTATGTATTGATAGGTTTAACTTGGTGAAAACTCGAAATTATCAATTTTCGGGCTAACAATATCACTGACGTATATCCCGACACCGGAAATACGCCAACATTTTCCGGAAAATACAGGCTGGAAAACGATCGTTTACCGGAAAATGTTTTCCATTTCGTTTTCCGCTTCTTGCATACGGAAAACGGCAGTTTCCGGAAAACGCGTTTTCCACGGAAAACGTTTTCCAAAGAAAACGGTTTTCTGGGAAATCCTTCTTGCATACGGCCTCTGTTCTGCAAAAAATCTTGTTTCAGAATGATTGTCTTGAATCGAAACTTCTGAAAATATCAGTTTTCAGAAAAAATTGATTTTTCACTATCATTTTCCTAACGCCCCATTCTACCACATCATCGAAAAAAACGTATCTATTCCCTTATGTTGAAAAAAAGTTCAAAAAAAGCCACTTTCCCTTTTTCCATTCCCTTGTTTTCGAGCCATATTTCTTTTCACCAAACCTCAGTTTTATTACTCTCCCATTTTCTGAATCCGTACTCTCTTGAACTTGGGTCCCTCAGATTTCTCTTATTACCCACTCCGTAATATTCTGAATGGCAATTTTACTACTCTCAAAACCGATTTTATTATCAACCTTCTTCAGGAACAGGGCTCACTTTTCTCTGTTCTTGTCTTTGTGAATGCCACCACCCACTCAGATTTCTTGTTTTGTCATCTGGATTTTAAATTATCGAATTTTCATGTTCCAAACTCACAAAACTCTGAGCTCCATGCCCACTTTGTTTGCTTCACATGTAACTTTGAAATGTCCCATTGCTGTCATTAAGTGATCCCATGATTTCCTTGAACTTCTAGCAATCACTTCACTTTGAAAGTTTTCCCCTGTCCAATTGAAATTGCTGTTCAGCATTTTTCTGGTCGCCCCTATCCACACAAATGTCGCATTCCTGTTTTAAAGTATTTTGTATCATGAATCATATTATTTGGAAGAAAATTTACAAAACATTCAGCTCTTTTCTAATTTAATGGTCCCAATTATTTTTTTGTAAATGTTTAAAAACGAATGATCTTGAAGAAAAGGGACCCACAACAAAGAGGAACTTAAGAAAGAATAGGGAGCCGGCAGCCAAGATGATGTGTAATATAAAAACAATTTTATCTAAAATTTCTTGAAAAATTGAATATTGGATCTTACATCAACTACACTTAATGACTGTGTGCTCTCATTGTTTCAAACTGTAAATTTTGAACTATTTCTTCAGCGTTGCCTTCAATTTCCCGGAATCCCCACACTGGAATAAACCCAAATATTCTTGGAAATTTAAGGCCTATTGATTTAAGTGAATTACCAATCAGAAAAAATCAAAAGTTCATGGGAAATGCCGTCATGGGTTCTGGAAACTTGAGGCTACTTTTTTCAAAGAAAAATCTCCCTTCAGATTCTCCTCAACACTAATAAATCATGTCCGCTAAATTTGAAGTCTCTGTAGTCAATGTCGGTCGTGTTGCTGGGTGCCGATCTTGCGGTTGCTCAGCGCTACTTTTTCGATTTTATTTTTTGGCATTTTTGTTTGAAGACGCAGATGTATAACTCCCAGTTTTTGTTTCGAGACTTTGAAATGTATAGTTCAAAACTTCCAATTTTCCTTCTAGTAGCTCCCAATCCGATATTTACACTTTGAGCTCAATTATCTCAATTTCTTTGAGAAATATAAAAGTTTTCTAACAATTAAAATGTTTATAATTTTATGGCCAAAACTACTATATTTGCTCTGATAAAAACTTATTCTATACGTGTACTTCGAGCTCAAATATCATACCTCGATTTCTTCGAAAGATATCAAAAATACGTCAACTAATAAATTATTAATCACAATATCATAAATATTTCATTCTTTCATAGGTTTTTGATATCTCTCGCAAGACCAGAGACAATTAAGATCAAAGTGCATGTTGGGCTTTTATTACAGAGGATACGGTATAACAGTTGACAGGTTTTTTGAACATTGACAGGGAGTGAATTTAATTCAAAGGAGAAATTTTGGTTTAAAGGTGAAAATCACATTCACGAAATGACCAATCTGATATAGGTGTCTCTTTCAGTTAAGCTTCATAACTATCTGAGATTCATCATTTTTCGAAAAGTCTTGTGATATTAGTGGATAAGCCCTCCGGTTCACTATTGACCCTTTCGATAATTTTCCATAAACTAATTTTCAGCCTCAATATTCTAAAAAATGTCTAGCCAAAAAACTCCAACTGGCTCCGAGCTGAATGAAGTTGAGCAAAAGAAGGTAACGAAGAAAATGATTAGTAATTTTATTCTTGCTCCATATGTGGAAAATGAAAGATTTAATGAAATAAGAAAAAATAATATTCAGGAGAAAAATTTACTGTCGTCAGGAACACCAACTCCAAAAGCTGGTGAAAATGGATTTGAGCTCAATGGTAACTACTCCTTAACTGTTCATAACTATAAAAGAAATTTTCAGAGTCCGGAACCAGATTCTCATTCTCCAAGGAGGCCAGCACACAGAATCCATTTCCAGACGGTCTCCCACATGCAGACATCAATGGGGCTATCAGGTCTTTTGATCTAGAAGAAAGTGAATAATCACTTAAACTTTGAAAAAAAAGAATATAATTTTCCAGACGACGCGATTGAGTTGAAGGACGCACCAAAGACTGCCAGCTGGAGAGCAAAAGATGGGGATTAATCAATTGTCTGATTTTTTCCAACTTTTTTGAGAACCGCGGGTTATTTGTTCTTAATTTATTTTCTAAATATTTTATTTGTCAACAGTATTTGAAAAGTGGGAATGAAAATTTGGGGAAAAACTCGTACAAACAAAAAAAAAACACGAACATAAGCAAATTAAGCCAGAATTCCAATTGGTTCATCTTCAATACCACACGCGTTAATACCACGAGCAAAGTAGATATATCCGTTCTCAACTCCCCAAGTGTTTCCCCAACTGTTCTTGACAATCCAGTACTTTTCACCTTTCTCGCTAGTTCCATAACCGGTGATGAGAAGAGCGTGCAGTCCGATCACCTAGAAAATGACAATTACTGATAAAAGAAGTAATATGATAAGGTGATATGGGGAGACAATGGAGGAGGAAGAAGTACAACTTACCTCGTTCTTGCAGGCGTACTCGCTCGGGGTGAAGACTCCACCTTTGTAGGCTCTCATTGGTTGGATAACGGACATTCCTGAAATTTGGAAAATTAGAAAAAGAAAAAGGTTGAAACTTAAAGTGAATGTTTATAAACTTTCTGATTGTTTCCCTGTGAATAGTTTTCCATTCTTACCAATGTTAACTGGTCCAAAGTTGACAAGCCAGTTGATCATGGAGTCCTCATCGTGATGAAGGAAATATGCTGCCTTGATTTTCGTGGTGTTGTAGTGACCATCAACCGAGCATGTGTTTTGACGGTGAGCAACGTATGGTAGGTCAACAGCATATGCCAATCCTTGACGGTGAATGTATCTGAAAACGATCTTTGTAAACCATCACCTTTACCTATCTTCACCTGAATGCTTTGTCCTCGTCTCCTCCATCGCACGCGTTATCATCCAAATCGCAATCGAGCAGTGTTTGCTCCGACAAGTTTCGCTTCTCACCGTGTGCGATAGCGTACGCGGCCTCGACGGTGGCGGTGGACGCGAAAGCCCAACAACTTCCACACTGTCCTTGTGCTTTTACAGGGGTCACAACGTTTCTGTCCCTCCAGTCGAAGAAGTCTGGAAGTGGTCCGTTGCGTTCTCCCTTCATGGCTGCCAACGATTCAGGGATCGGTTTGATGAACTCGGCGTCCTTGTGGAGTCTTTGATAAAAAGATTTTGGAAGCAGGGTCTTGGTGAACTCCTCGTCGGTCCAGTCGGAAAGATCGTTGTGACCATAGACAGCGCTTCCATGCTCCTTCTGTTTATTCCAGTTGGCAACATTCTCGTCGGTGGTGTAGTAAGCATTCAATCGTTTCAAAGATTCCTTGCTTGTTGAATAGCTCTTGTTGTATCTGTGCGTCACAGTTGAGTAAGATCTTGGAAGAAAAATTCTCAAACTCACTTTTCAGTATAGGCAATATACTCATGGGCAATAGTCTGAATTCCTCTCTCGTTGTGTGGGACTTGTCGCTCTTTTAGTCTGTTGTATGTGTAGCTAAAAAATTAAGTTTTTGGCTTAAAGAGACTTGCAGAATAAGAACTCACTATGTTTGAAGAACAGCCAAAAGGAGAATACTGGTAATCATCAAATAGACAACTGCTCTTAGAGCTCGTCTTCTAGCATTCCTTAAAAAATCAAAAAATCAAAAGATCACAAAAATATTTTCTCACAACTCATAGTTCCATTCATCTCTCTTTGATTGGTGCTCCCCAGCCAATGGATGATGCTCCACCCGACTGAGTGGCGCCGAGGCCTTTTCATCCTCCTGTCTGAAAATATAATCAATTTTTCAATCCTAAAAATCAAAAATCTATTAATTAGAACTCACTTGAACATTGAAATTGCGACCATCTCACAAGCGAGTGTGCAGGGCAAACTGACTGCTCGCTTATCTCCAGCGATTTTTAGGCAAATTTGTTATCATCACAACTGTGGAGTTGATAAAATAGGTCATGAAATCGAGAGACGAAATTATCAGAGTCCGCCTGTCGACTCGCTCAAAAACTCGAGACAGTTTTTGTTTTTAGAAGTTTCTGGTATCTTTTAGATGCATCATGTGATAGTAGAATTTGATAACTCTGAACGGTGGCTGAATAAGAGCAATTGATTGATTTTGATTAAAAATTGACTAATGTAAAATTTGAAAAATAATTAATTGTGTCATTTCATCTGTGAACAATTTTTTGATATCTGATATATAAACCGAAATAATTAAGTTCAAAATTCACGTATCTGATAGGCTTTTATAAAAAATGCTGCCAAAAAGTTTTATTTTTGCAAAATCTGAAATATTATCAAAAATGGTCACATAATCACCGACATCGTAATATGACTCGAATCCCGAAAAAATTGAAAAACGATAAACCACACTTGTAACAGGCCGGGCCCGTCATTTCACAAGTTTTAAAAATTTCAAAAAACACATAAGGGGTGACCCTTATGTGATTTTTTTTCGATGAAAACTTTTGTTTCGAGATTTTTCGATTTTTTCGATCAAACAGACAAACAATTCAAAAAACGAAAAAAAATGGAGAAAATTATATTAAGTGCTCAAAATTTGGCTCAAAAATACAGGAGTTTTGATACTGTTCCTGAGGTCAGTATTTTTGCTCTCAAAACGCCTATTTCACATTTTCACTTTATTCGCCTTCAACCAACTTCATCACCACTTGCCAGTTTTTTTTAGTTTCAGTTTCGACATCTCCATCATTTTTCGCGCTGAAATTTCAAGTTTGAGACATCCGATGATTCTGAGGTTTTGTAGTTCTCACAGTTTGAATTTTCTAAAATTCTGAAGCTTTCATATTCTGATACTCTAATTTTGAAAATCTGATAACCGGAAATTTATGAAATTCTAATGTTTGAAAAATATCAAAATACAAAACACCATTTCTCTTTATTAGGTTCAAAATTCGAACTGAATATCAGAACGTAAACGTTGCTTGAAACGATAATAATAAATATCAGGGAACGCGGAAATGAAACGGGAGGAGAGAGTGGAATAACACGTAAAATTGGTTGGGTGGTGCACTTTGTGCAGAATACGATTAGTGCAGAAAAAAGTTCAATGATACAGATAAAGAGGTGTGAATGGTTGGGTTAAAAAACAGAAATTTTGCAATAACAATCTTGCAAACATTTTCTTTATTTTTGTATTGTTGCTTGGATAAACCCGGGCCGGTGGAACTAAAGTTGGTTGTTGATTTGGGTGTTTAGTAGAGAGTTAAGTGTATTTTAAAGTTAGATTGAGATATCTAAAGCTAAGCAGCCAGAAAAGAAACAGTCACGCGGAAGGAATTCTAATACTTGGAAGTTATTTTCAGCGGGGACAAATAAGGAAGATTGTAAAAAATGCGTATTGGCAACCCGATGGAATGAGTTTTCTTTTTGGGAGAAAGGGAGTCATGATAAATGACAGTTTCTCATTAAATATGTTCAGTTTGCATAGATTGGTTGAGTGTTCTGTTTGAAGGAGTGGTCTTCTTCGGCGAACACTTGTTTGACAGTTGCTCGTTTATCGTTTGACTTTGGAATTTTTGAGTCGTCGTTCGTTTTGTTTTCCTTGATTTTTGAATGGGATTCTGTAAAAGGATGATATTAAATGTTTCTAACCACTTGATAATTACCATGGATTTCGTTCAAAAAATCAATGCTTGGGCGGTCCGGAGTGGTGACTTGCTTCTTGATTGGGACCATATTTTCGATATCATTGAAGTCGAGATATTCCTAGAAAATTCCGATAGAACTTGGAAATTAAAGTTTTTGTATTTTTACGTCTTGTTTAAAAATTACTCAAAATTCAGTTATCCTTATACCGTGGACGTTATAATTGACTGATCCCTCTTCTTTTTAGTTCTAGCAAATTTATCTCGATTCATGTGGAAGGTAGAGGAAAGTGATCAACTGGTGAAATATTTTTAATATTAAAAAAAAACATTTTATCAGTTGATTACTTTTCGATATTTTTGTCAGGAAGCGAGGTAAATTGGCTTAATGTAAAGTTGAAGATTTTGGGGGCATTCTGGGAATTAGAGTGATCACGGTGACACTACATTTCCCAAGCGTAAACGCATTTATTTCTCTGTATCTTTTTCCCCTCGCTTGAATACAACCACTAGCGCCCTTTGCGCCATGCGGGGGTATAGCTCAGTGGTAGAGCGCTCCCTTAGCATGGGAGAGGGCTGGGGTTCAATTCCCCATACCTCCAGAATTCTTTTTTACTTTTCTGTGATTTTTTTTGCGTTCTTTTTTCATAATGAAGGTTTCCGAGGTTTTGAAGTTCCTGCTGGATCCAAAATTTCGAAAAGCAAATTTATTAAAAATGTCAATTTGCCGTGAAACAGATGAACTCACATTCAGGAACACAAGGTTTTAGACGTTCGAGATTTCAAGAATTTTAAATTACCGTATTTCCTTAAAAAGAAGTCCACCGAAACCGTCAAATTTGAGCTCAAGTATCTTGATTCCTGTAAAAGGTATCAAAAATTGGTTGACCGATGAAAGAAAAGTTTGATTAAATATGATAAACAATTCATCAGTTGACTAATTTTTGATATCTTTCACAGGAATTGAGATAATTGAGTCTAGGTCAAATGTTCGGGTGGGTTTGTATTTTAAAAAAATACTGTAGATAGATCCTGATACTGACAACTCCCAGATTCCACGAGATCCTAATTTTTAACCTAATTTTTTTAAATTCTAAAACATTTTCAGTTCTAAATTCTATAAAATGTGGACTACATGAATATCAAATAGAGCTGTAGCGAATCCTATGAATCTCAGACTCATTAAACTTCAACTAGCTTGATTATTCAATTGCTCATTTTCAAAGCATTTAAATCCTCAATTTGGAGCATTATAAATTTTCTAATTTTCAAGCTTTAGCAATCACCTGATTCGCGATTATCTCTTTCACATAAACACACTTATCTTACGGTAACATTCTTACCTTGTGACGTGGAAGTGGAGAGTTCTCGAAATCAAAGTAGACCGATTTATGAGAGAATGCGGTGGAGAACCGTTTCTTTGAGTCGAACATTTGAGATACTGTAACATGGCTTTGTAATTTCTTTCGCTACTAGAGTTTTACAAACGTTTTCTCGTGGTCAATGTGTCTGCAATACTGGTGCCACGTGTCTCCGGACTGGCTGTATTGATAGTGTAGATTGGGTTGGGGATCTTGGGTCTGATTCCAATTGCTGAATTTTAACTTTATGACTTTTTTGAAATCAAACGTTTAAGTTCAAAATTTAAAATCAAACTTACTACTCTCCGCTCTCGTTGGAAGTCGTCTATTCGGCTCGGCAGGCGATGGTGGTTGTTTCTTGTCTTTCGACCGGATACAGAAAAATAAGATGAGAATCATGAGGACAGCGAGGATGCCGGCGATCACCGCCAACATGACGACGACCCACGTCGGCATTCGAAACTGAAAAAGATTTTGTTAGATAAACTTGTCTTATAGGAATTGATCTTTGTGGAGATGAATAACTAGGGAGGTGTCATACTTGAAATAAATATTATACCAACAAGGAAGTATAGGAAACATGATACTGATTTTTTGAGAGGGGTACGAGGAACCAAAATTTTATATATGATAAGAAGCAATGGAAAAAAAACAGCTGGTAAAGTTCAAGCGAGTCGTAAAGTTTGTGAAAGGGGAGGGAGGAAGATGAAAATCTAAAATTTTTTTAAATTTTAATAAAGATTTGTCATGAAAGATACGACTAGAACAAAAAAACATCTGGCCTCACGAGATAATTCAGTCATTATTTGGCCGATAGTGGGAATCACCAATTTGGGGGACATGCAAAACAAAGTAGTAAGTATGATTAGACTGACCAGTTTTGAAAATAATTGAAATTGAAAACATGTTATCTTATTAGCGGATCAGGTGTTTTTGGGAGGTCGGGGCAATTTTAGATTTTCAAAACGTTCCACAATGGATAAATTCAGAAAATCATTCTAAAAAATCATATTTTGACGACTTCGGTCGAAAAAAAAACATCTTTGAACCCCTGAAAAAATTGTATAGAATTTTTCAAAGTGTCTGAAAGTTTTAGGGCGCACTGAACAAAATTAGAGCTTGATTTTTATAAGAGACCACTTTTTTGAAAATCCAAAAAAACAAGATAATCGGTTCAAAGTAGCGCAACGTCCATTTTAGTGTCAATTTTGCCATTTTTGAAACAAAATAATATTTTTGAAAACTAATAGAAAATTTAAGCTTTTCCGAGTCAAAAATAATTTGAGAATATCGTATTTCCTCTAATACAACCTTTCCCAAAACATCACCTTTGAGCTCAACTATGTATCTCAATTTCTTTGATAGGTACCAAAAAATTGTCAACTGATAAATAATTAATCATAACATCATAAACAGTTTATCAGTTGACAATTTTTTGATATTTCCCACATAAATTAAGATTTCTAAGCTTGAAGTGGACGGTTTGGGTGGGCTTCTATCAGAGGAAATACAGTAGCTCTTCAGGATTCTAACGTTGACTAAATTTCACTGAAAAGTCTGGTATTGTATTTATAAAGCACTAAAACTTTTGCGAACCCTTTTCAGCAGTTTTACACATTTCCAAAACTGCTAAGTCCACCTCCATCAGTAGATAAAAAACCAATAAAACTGTACATCTAATTTCTATTGTGAACGCGATGAACCTAGAAAACTACAAAAAGTTACTTTAGGCTTTCGAGAAGTTGTTCATTTTGGAAATCGTACCATAAAGTTAATGATCATTAGGTGATAGAAAAACAGCAAAAAAGTGAAGACTGGTAATTAGAACACACATACAGAGACAATAACAAAAATAGTGAAATGGTGGTAGAAGAAGAAGTGGAAGAATGAATGATATACATACTAGGAGAAAATGGAGAATAAGTCATAAATAAAACTCTCGATTGCCTAAATCACTATCACAGAAATTTCGGAGGGGGAGATGGAAGAAGCGAATGGACGACACGAGATAGGTTTTCATTCGTTTTCGCCTTCTCAGTATTGTGTAAATCATGGATCTCAAAAGGAAAAACCGCCAATACATTGTAAATACGACCGACGAAGTAAATAGAACAACCCTGCATGTAATTTTGCACTCGGTGAAATGATCCAAGTATTGGATAGACAGGAAGGAATGGACTAACTTGTCAATCAATCAAATGGACTGAACCCTTCTTACGACTTTCTTTTCCCCCTGGCGAAAAAGTTTTGAAATGACGCCCTGGTAATTAAATACTGAAATCGAATCAGTGTTGCAATTATATCTCCGAAATGATATGTGAGAGGGGAGGGGGCAGAATTTTCCAGAAGAGAAAAGTTAATGGAAAGTTGAATGACAGCCGATGATGGCAGATTTTACTTTTCTCCTTTAAAATGAGAAATTGATACACATCATTTGGGCTTTTACGCGCCACCAACTAACCGCACACGCGTCAAACACCATGTGAAAACCTTCAATTTTTCGGAAGGAGCGAGAGCCGTCATTTTCCGGAACAGGGAAATTGTTTCGTTTATGATAAGAAGTCGAATAAAATCGCCTTGCGGTGGTCTCTCGGGGTGTCTCTGTGTGCTCAATTCTCTTCTTTCTCCCTCTCTTGGCACCTTCTCCGGGCAAAAAAGCCGGAAATTACAATGCGAAAGCCGATCGCTGCGGGGCCCCGCCCGGTGGCTCCAATCTTGATCAAAAATGAATAGAGAACAAAACAATCAAAACATTTGGAGAAGAGATTCTCGCCCTGGGATCATGGGAAAGAGCGGTGGTCAAGTGACGATATCAAAAGAACGGGAGATAGAGCACCGACACTTATCATCTACCAGGGGTACTCTTGTTGACCGAAAATTTGGAGGAGATTGATAGGAGGGTGGACAGTGGGTATTTAGTATCAGACTCGGAGTAAAGTAACTGAGTGTAGAGAGTAAACATCGTTGCTAACCATGAAAGCTCCGAGATAGCCATTCTATACTTACGTTTTGAGCTCAATTATCTCAATTTCAATAAAAGATAGCGGAAAAGTGTCAACTAATACAATGTAGGAGATGTTAATAAGAATATTTTTTTCATTTGACAGATTTTTGTTAGCTCTTACAGAAATTGAGATAACCGAGATCAAAGTGCAAGAACAGGGTGGCCTTCTATTAGAGAGTTTGCGGTATTTTTTTTTTGTGAAAATGAACCTTGAATGTTTTAAATCAGGTTTTGTAACACGTAACTGAAATATTTCAGATTTACTGATGAAAATAGAGGTTGAATTTTAGAGCTCACAATTTTTGCGCTAATTTAATCAAATGAGATGAAACGCGCTAAACCAACCAGGTACCAAAACTTTATGAAGTAGCATAGATTTTTTAGACGTAACACTTTCGAGCGGTCTAGCTCATTTGGATGAACTCGTACAATAAAGTTGTTAACTACAAAATTGAAGCTCTATTTTCGATTAGTAAGCCGCTGTTAAAGACTGAAACAAAGTCAAATTTATGAATAATTTCAAATTTCGAAATCAGCATAATTGAAGAACGGCGTCCGAAACAGTGTACAGGCAAACAAAAATCCTATTTGGATTATCTGAGTTCGAAAAATCTCAATAGCTGATGACTAAACTGAATAGTTCTCATCTGAAATAACTAACTTGTGATTCAACCAATTAACTAGGGCGGTTACCAAGTGCCTCCATTGTTCCATTCCAAATGAAAAAAAAACGGTCGAATTCAGAAATAAACAATTTTCGAGAACACAACCCAAAATTTGTCATTCCGCCTTGACCACCTCCAACTGCATACTAAACTTTTATGGCACACGTTCAAACTAACCAAATTGGACGGTTTTGCATGTTTTATAAACCGCCAACTTTGAGAATCATGTAGATCGAGAAAAGTGAAAAAGTAAATGGCAGTGAGCGGAAGAGAGGGGACTAACGCGTTTCAAGTCGGAAAAGCTATAAAAAATGGCTGGGGTAGGTTTACAGGAGAAGTTTGCCTGGATAGAAATGATCGGAGGGGCAGAAAGAGGGGTGATCGCATAATAGTGAAGCTTGAAATGATTGGTTGGGGGGAGAAGAAGACCGGCAGGGTGTAAAATCAATTGAATAATGACGTCATTAAGAGTATAGGCAAAACGGCGGTTTGGTTCATCGAATTCTCGGTGGCGAAAAGCAGCAGCGGTGGAAATGGTTAGTTTTTATATAGTAGAGTTTGAAATTCAGTGATACATGTGTTTATGAAGTGGTCGTTGTGAGTCACTACTCGTAACCAGACAGCCCAGATGTTGATATTTGTTTTACTCAAGAGTTATCACCAGATGCTCGAGAGTTTATTTTTGAACATGAGTGTATCATCGAATTTTCGAAAAAAAATAAAATGAACTTTAGGGTGAAACTTTGAATGGGCACGTGGTAATTTTTTTTGGATTACTGTAAATAGGAAAAAGTACGTTCAGTCGGAAATTATCATTTGTTACTGATGAAAAAACAGAGAATTGATAGTTTCAGTGAATAAACGCTAAATCTGTGTATTTTTTCAACTTTTCAACTACAGTATCGGAGAAGGTAACCGTATTTCCTCTAATAGAAACCAGCTTAAACTGCTAACTTTGAGCGCTATTATCTTGGTTTCTATGAGTGATATTAAAAATTTATCAACTGCTAAAACATTGGTGATATCATGACATATATTTTTCAAATTTTCTACAAATTTATACTGAACAAAACGAAAGCTCGATTTTTGTAATTCATATATTTTTGTTGTGAAAATTCAAAAAAGCGAAATAACCGTTTTTAAAAATGCACAATTCTCATATTGTAATTTCCAGCATTTTTTTTTTTGGTTTCAAACAGCATATCTCACAGCAATAGAATTTGACAGAAAAGTTGTCGACTACAAAAATGAAGTTTATATCTATTTTGAAGTTTTCAGAGCACAAAGTTGACTAGTTTTCACTGAAAAAATCAAACTATGATTTATTTTGGCCGGTAGCATCATTATCGGAATATTTCTATTCTACCCAACAAAAAAAGCAATGAACAAAAAACCCAATCAATTTCCGGGGGCCCAAAACGATTACTGTAATTGAAACTAATCTAAAGCGATTCTCGAATTCCCTAACTATACAACAGTTCCAACCAAAAGTCACATTGCTTCTAAACAGCAGCAAATGACGCAAAACGAATGAGGCAACATTATCCTTCCGGGGAAATTGGAGGAAAAAAGAGAAAAACGTTTCAAATCTTGCAGCATGTTCTAATTTCCTGTGAGGATTACATCAAATTTGTTTGTTCTATTATTTTTTCTTTTTTCCTTTTTTCCTGAAAAGAAATGAACTAGTTTAAAAAGCGTTCAAAAATATCTATGGTCGGTTTTGTCGGAAGGTGGACAATAAAAGTAAGAATATACAATAAATAAAGAGAGAGGAAGAAGGAACAGGT